CCAAAAATGTATCCAGGGGCGTAGTCAATTGTTTCGATCTGCGTGACGTCGCCGAGGACGAGATAGTCGAGGAGCTCTCAGAGTTTGGTGTGACAAGCGCTCGCAGGATTTTCGTCAGACGGGGAGGAGAGCTGCTGCCCACCAACAACCTCATTCTGACGTTTAGTTCCACCGATTTGCCTGCCGAGACACGTGTTGGATACGCTCGAGTGAAGGTTCGACCGTATTTGCGGTGCTACCAGTGTCGGCAAATCGGCCACACCAAGCTCCACTGTCGTAACCGTCCAGCATGTGGTAAATGTGCGTCATTCGAGCACACGAGCGAAGTCTGCACCTCTGCGGAACCCCATTGCGTGAACTGCGGCAAGGACCAAATCCCACACACAATGTACGACCGTACATGTCCGGCCTACGCGAAAGAAAAATAGATTATATCGATCAAAACCTCTAGAAATGTCTCTTTTCGTAAAGCTCGTAAACTTTACAACGACAGTCATCCAAAAACATCGTATGCGTCCAAAGTGAAAGCTTCGTTGCCACAAAGTAATGCCATCGAGCACATGACGGCCGTTCAGTTCGTGGGGCTTCTGAGGTCGTTTGGCCCGTCGGTTGTTCCCTCGGTCCGAACGCCCGACTCCCAGTCGGCACTCCTAGCTCCCTCTCCGCCGATCGAGCAGTCGGTAGACGCCGCACCGCTGGCCTCCTCGGTGCGCGCCGGATGACCAGCGGGCGACGGTTAGACGACGGTTCGGCGTGGTCGGAGTCCACGCGCGCCGCCGGCCTTGCCTTCGTCTGCGACCCAATCGGTCCCTTCGCTACAGACACCTCTTGCCAGTGCCTGTGAGCGTGTGGCAGAGACGCTGGAGCGTCAGGAAGCTGACAGGCGCACCCGCGAGGCCAAGCGAGCGCGCTTGGCCGAACTGGAGCGCGCCAAGGCGGCAAGCCGTCTGTCCGAGGCAGACAAAGAGACCGTCCCCCGAAACAGCACTCCATCACCACGGAAGCCGGTGGAGGCCCCCGCTGGTCCCTCGAACCACGGTACAGGCCCGCCGATGGACCCTTCCCCGCCTCCACCCCGGACTGGGTACGCTGGCGTAAAGCGTGCCCATCCCAGTTTTTTTTTAAAATGCGCCCTTTTACAGGCGTTTTTACAGTGGAACTGTAGAGGAGTAAGGGCAAACGCCCTCGATCTCGAGGCTGTCGTCGGCAGAGTCTCCCCTGCAGCCGTGGCGCTGCAGGAGACCAAGCTAGCGCCTGAAAATTTCTGCTCCTTGCAAGGATATGCGATGTTTCGCAACGACGTGGTGACGGAGAGCATTGCTCACGGTGGCGTCCTCCTGGCAGTTCATCATAGCGTGCTAGCGAGGAGGCTAAGCTTGCGGTCCACACTTCAGGCTGTGGCCGTGCGGCTTTATTTTAATCATCGTCACATCACTGTTTGTTCACTTTACCGTCCACCAGGCATTGCTTTTCCGTTGGCGCACCTTAGATGTCTGCTGGCTGAACTGCCTCCACCACTTTTTCTTCTAGGCGATTTTAATGCGCATCACACCGCAGGGGGGTGTGGCGTCACCAGTGCTCATGGGAAGTTGTGTGAGAATTTTATCCACGGTGCTTCATTATATGTTTTAAACACAGGGGCTCGTTCACATCTTACAATGCCATCCGGTCAGACGTCAGCGCTAGACTTAAGCCTCTCCAGTACCCCAGCTCGTCCAACACCTCGAGTGGAGTGTTGGAGATGACCCCATGGAAAGCGACCACTTCCCAGTGTGGGTCCGGTTTAAGAGAGGTGGAGCGTTGGGTGTTAGGCCACAACGCTGGAATTTTAGGAAAGCGGACTGGTGCGAATTTGAGACTCGGCTCGACGAATCAGTTCGTAACTGAGGCTGTGAGGACGGTACCCTCTATTGAGGTTTTTACTCACAGACTTTTAGAGTGTGCCAGCAGTTGTATCCCACGCACGTCTGGCGCTCCCCGACGTATTCCTGTTCCGTGGTGGACGGAGGAGTGTCGGAGCGCCATCCGGGCGCGTAAACGTGCGTTTCGGGCTTTTGACGCCAGGAGCAGTACAGAAAACCTGATAGCTTTTAAGAAAGCGAGGGCTTTTGCTCGGCGCACCGTAAGGGAGGCGAAGCGTGCTTCCTGGCATGCTTACGTGAGTATGTTGAGCCGGTCCACGCCAACATCGCAGGTTTGGTCTCGAATTAAGCACATATCTGGGCAGTTTACATTCATGGCTCTTCCGGTACTATGTGTGGACGGGCAGGCCGTGACGCGCCCGTTGGAGGTTGCGAACGAGATTGCCCGGGCGCTGGCCTACCGCAGCGAAGGTGGCAACACTAGCCCACAGTTTGTGCGGCACCGAAGGCAATGTGAGCAACCCACAGCGGATTTTTCGACGAGTGAGCTACATTCCTATTATGATCCATTCGCCCAGGTCGAGCTGGAATGGGCGATTGCCAAACTTCGCAGCGTGTCAGAAGGTCCGGACGCTGTGCACAACGACATGCTCAAGCATTTGTCGCCTTGCGTGCTTTGCGCTCTTTTAGCAGTATTTAATGCGCTTTGGGCCAGTGGTGACTTTCCAGCCTCTTGGCGAGAAGCTGTAGTCGTTCATATTTTGAAACCGGGTGAAAGTGGACTAGATCCTTTACACTATAGGCCTATTTCTCTCACTTCATCGCTCTCTAAGTTTATGGAAAAGATGGTTAATGTCCGTTTAACTTTGTTTTTAGAACATCACGGCGTTTTTACAAACGCCCAGTGTGGTTTTAGAAGGAATCGCAGCACAGTTGACAATCTTTTAGTTCTTGACACTGCGATTCGTATGGGATTTAAAGCAAGCCGACACGTAGGCGCAGTGTTCTTTGACATAGAGGGCGCCCATGACACCACATGGCGTCAAGGCATCCTTCTCAAGATACACAGGTATGGTATACGCGGCAATATGGGCACCTTTCTTCAAAACTTTCTAGTTGACCGTTCTTTCCGAGTCCGTGTTGGAAACGCGCTCTCTGAGAGGCATGTTCAAGTGATCGGTGTGCCCCAAGGCGGCGTTCTCAGCGTAGCTTTGTTCGCCGTTGTGATCAACGACATCGGGAGGGGGCTTCCACAGTCTGTAGGTCGTGCGCTTTTTGTTGATGATTTTACCATTTGGACTAGCGCAGCAAGAGCACCATCGATGGAACGCCAACTCCAGTTAGCTGTTGACCGCGTTGAGAAGTGGGGAACCATGAACGGGTTCAGGTTTTCACGTAGCAAGACTGTAGCCATGCATTTTTGTCGTAGCCGGCAATGCGGTGACCTATCTATCCGTATGTATGGGCAATACATCCCAACTGAGCCTGTGGCTAGATACCTTGGGATATACTTTGACCGCCGACTTACATATAAGGCACATCTTAGAACGCTACGTGAACGCTGTTTTAAATCATTGAACGTATTAAAATGTGTTTCGCGCACATCGTATGGCGGAGATCGGAGCACGCTTTTGTTGCTGTATCGGGCAATCATGCGCTCTAAGCTGGACTATGCATGTTTTATTTATGACGGCGCGTGTGAATCCACCAAATGCATCATTGACACCATCCATCACACTGCTTTACGTGCCATCACAGGGGCGTTCCGCACATCTCCTACCCAAAGCCTCTTGGTAGAATCGCATGAGCCGCCGTTGTCAGCGAGGAGGAAAATGCTAGGCATGCGTTATGCACTTAAGCTGCGACAGTTTCTGTGCCGTCCCGCATATCACGCAGTCTTTCCGCGACATGCTGTGCCGTTTGTTCGCCATGCACCTCGGGCGCATGCAGTGACCTTTGGCTCCCAGATACAAGCCTTACTGCGGGAAAACGAAATTCCCATTCGAAAGGTGAAGCGATCAGGTCACCTGTGCACTCCTCCCTGGCATTTGATCTCACCATTCACAGACACATCTCTGACGAAATGAAAAAAGTGTCTCGCTGCCAGATATAATGAGGTCCAGGGCGTTTGAGCGTATAGCGTTATAAGAGGGTTACACACACACTTACACTGACGGCTCTAAAACTTCTGATGGTGTAGGCTGTGCGATTGTGAGCGGTGGCGTCACTCGGTCGTTTTCATTGTCCCCAAACGCTTCGGTGTTTACATCAGAGTTCATAGCAATCATTAAGGCACTATGTTTCATTGGAGTCGGTGACGAACCCTTGCATCTCATTTTGACGGACTCTCTGAGCAACGTTCTAAGTGTGAAGTATTTTTATCCGTCATGTCCCCTTATACAGGACATTTTAATACGTTTGACTCAACTGAATCAGGCCGGAAAGAAAATCATGCTATGTTGGGTTCCTAGTCATGTCGGCATCGCGGGCAACGAGTTGGCTGACGCGGCTGCCAGGCGAGCAGCGCTGGCTCCATGTGTTCACTCTCTTTCTATTCCTGCCAGAGACTTTTACCGTGCAATAAAAACCTTCCTGCACAACAAGTGGCAGCGTTGTTGGGATCGGATGGATAGTAATAAGCTCAGAGAGATAAAACCTAAGCTGGGTCAGTGGTTCTCTTGTTTCCGGAAAATGCGGCGAGAGGAGGTGATCCTCTGCAGATTGCGCATCGGGCACACATACGCAACCCACGGCTATATGTTGGAGGGAGCCGATTAACCTATCTGTCATCGATGTGGTGCTGTTCTCACCGTTCGCCATATTCTTATTTCTTGTCCCCGCCTCGCGGAAGAACGCCAACGCTATTTTGGACAGCATGACTCGCCCCTTACCCTCTGTGATATGCTAGGAGATAACTCACCATTTCTGGAATTTCAACAGATCTTTTTGTTTCTCAAACACATCAACTTTGGGACCATTTATGCGGCTCATTAGATAGGTAAAACAAAACTCGTTATGGGCGCCAAATGACCACCGCAGTCGGCGCGCCCCTAAACTCCAATAAACAACAACAAAAAGGATCAAATTCGCACGTGCAGCACGAGCGTTGAAGAAGTAGCCAACCAGATGACAAAAAACGAATGCTCCGCTCATGTCGTGTATTTTCTTATGCACCAGTTGTCACAACGCATTGGGCAGTGGAGGCACTGTAACGGCCTGCAGTTGCTGCAGGACGGGGGACGTAGAGAAACGAGCGATACAGGAACACAAAACAATGCCGATGCTATCAGTCTGACCTTAAAGGAGAGCATTTGCATGTAAGGTGGAGCGCGTACATTGCGTATGTGAGCAGGCAAGATCTTAACAAAGATAAAACCGGCATTGAAGAGGGCCCGAACAGGATGGTGGCGTTCTGCGGAACTCTGCAACTACACAGATCCTTGTAGTGGCTTCCTGGTCTTTTGTTAGGCCCTCCCTGTGATGAACTCTGTCAAGCATGTGGGAATGAAAGCAGTGTGAGTGCTGCTATTCCTTTTCTTCGTTCATGTCCGAGGGCAAGCATTTCAGGACATTTCGAAGCAAGAGCGTCTCCACTCCTGTGTTTGCCTTACATCTTGTTTGCTGGCTGTATCCCCCATCTCATATCTCCGTTTACGTGGTCATTGCATATCAGCTCCCTTTCGTGCTTATGTGAAGTAGAGGCATACACAGGCTGTTAACACTTGCGCCATTGTGCTGTTTATGAATGTTGTGTTTTCTTCGATTGTTACAGATAGTTCAGTTCTTGCGTTGTTTTCCGTGTGTTTTTTCGGGGTGTCTTTAATATCCGACGAAATTTGAGGCATGGTGCAGGAAATTTAAGGGTAAGAAAGAATACCTTAAAGCTGTGCACTTTTTGCGGGATATTGGGCACTAATCCTTGTGCCGTCTACCACCACGCCCACGCCGCATTCCCCCCATCATGCCCATCATCCCTCCGCCTCTATTCATTGCCGGTGCTGGAGGAGCAGCCACAGCCGGCTGTCCCACGCCGACCAGCACGTTTCCGCCGGGCAAGGCCGCACCGGGCAGCGCCACGGGGCTCACGTGGCGCGACGTGGCGGTCAGGGTGTTGGTGCCGCCGAAGGTTCCTGTGCCGCGGACGGCGCCCTGCGCGGCCACGCTCGCCACAGCGCTCAGGTCGAGACCCGTGTTGACCTGGCCGACACGCTGGCCGCCGGGGTTGACCAACACACCGGCCTGGGACACTCGCTGACGCCCGGACGCCGCGCCTGTGACGGCGTTGCCCAGCGCGGCGTTGTGCGAGGCGCCTTTATTGGTCGCCACGCCGCCGGCCGTCACGCTGCCCAGATGGCTGTTGGTGCCGGTCAGAACTGACCCCTGCTGGGCGAACTGGCCGTGACCGGCGGAGGCGCCTGCGGGCACGAACGGGTCAGATAGGCGGAAGGTCGGCAGACCGTAACGGAGACGGGCAACAGAGGCGACACAATTTCGTCAGCAGGTTTTACGCGTGCATCCGACTAGGAGAGCGGTCTGGTTTCGGCAAAGCACGTCCATGTTCAATGCTCGTCAAGGCGTTGCGCTATGGGCGTCAGATGCCTCATGAGTGATTTCGGTGGAGTGGGGGAACCATATACGTAAATGACATTCATGAAAGTGCATTAAATACAGTCTCAAGGACCGCACTGCATCGGGAGTGCATGACCGACAGTGAGCACCGCCCTGCCACCAGCGCCGTGACTCAATCACACAGCCATCGCGCGGCGCGAGCGCCCACCGTCGGGCCGCACTCGGCTCGGGACGTGGACCCACCCTGCAGGGTGACGGCGCCGTTGGAGGCGCGCGTGTCCAGTTGGGTGTGCCCTGGCACGCGGAACACCCTCTGCGAAGCGGCGGCCGCCGCGCCGCGCGCCGAGCCCACCAGCGAGCCGCCGCCGGTCGTGAAGCCCGTCTGGGAGCCGGCCACCACCGTTTGCACGTTGTTGGGCGCCGCGCGCCCGGCCGCGCGGCCGGCACAGACGGCGAGCAGCACTATCAGCAGGCTCCGCATGGTCGCTGGGTCCGGGTGGGGGTGGCAGAGGGTCGGGCACTGACGCCCGGCCACCGCGCCTGCTCCTCTTTATGGCCGGTCGGCCGAAAGGTCACGGCACGTGAGTGGGCGGTACACGCTGCCGGTTCCACGACAGAAGTGTTACAGCAGAAACTCATAACGACAGGAGTGTTACAGCAGAAACTCATAACGAAAGGAGTGTTATAGCATAAACTCCTAACGATAGGAATGTTACAGCAGAAACTCCTAACGACAGGAGTGCTACGATATGACTTCTGCTGCCAATACTTCAACGCGTGATTAGGGCTACACGGTAGAACTTCGACTTCAAAACATTTTCCCCATCATTGCTTCTGCTACAAAAATGTCTTGTCTTTAAATTACGCGACATAATTTCTACTGCAAGCAATTTTACGCGACAAAGGTGTCACACGAGCAAGTAGATACCTTAACACCTTATACTCTAAATACTTTTACCAGTCATTAACTCTGCTGCAAATTCGCGTGCGGTCTTTCCATAGACACGACAAAACTTGTCCTTACATACTTATACGTGACATTAGTGTTGCGCAACAAAGCGTCTGCTTCAAAAACTGACGTCCAATATTACTTTTACTGCCAAACTACACAGTCTTTACTTTACGCAGAGCAGGGGCGGATCTAGCCCGGAGTTGCTTTTTTTTTTGGGGGGGGGGGGGGCAACCGTTCGTCGCCAGCTGGCTGGTGTGGGATCCGAGGGCCAGTGCATGGTGCCTCTCGCGAGTACTTAGTAGGGACACCATTCAGAACCGAAAAAGCACCGAAATGCTTTTGAATCTGAAACAGGAGTAAAAACAAAACAGTTAAAACAGTTAAAGTTAAAACAGACGGTAAGTAGACGAAAATTTATAAAGTTCTGGGAATGTTTTTTTGGGAGGGACCAAAACATACTCTCAGAGGTTCTGGGGGGGATCACGGCCCCGTGCCCCCCGCCCCCCGGAATCCGCTTATGACGCAGAGTTGGTTTTAGTTTCGATCACCAAACGCGTCATAAGTGCTACGTCGGACATTGTGTGTTTCTTAAACTTACGCTCGTCTTCGCTTCTAGTGCAAAAGTGTACACGGTTCTGATTTATACGCGACGCTTTTTACCAGTGTTCACTGAACGAGATGGCATGGCGCGGTGCGGCAATGGATGGCACGATACGGCACAATACGGCATGGCACGGCACAGAAATGAACTGAACTGAACTGAACTGAATTGAACTGAACTGAAATGAATTGCATTGAATTGAACTGAACTGAACTGAACTGAACTGAGCTGAACCGCACTGAACAGAACGGAACGGAGCGGAGCGGAGCAAACAAGACGGATCGAGATGAGACAGGGCGGAACAGGATTGGGCAGGGCAAGGCAACTAAAATGACAGGACATGGCAGGCGGGAGGACAGGTCAGAATAAGGCAGGACAGGACCGGTCTCGCGATGGAGCAGGACAAGACCGGCCTCATTTTGTTCTGCCTCTGTCTTTTCGCCGGTTCCGTTGTCTCTCCTGCCCCAAGTGGACCGTCCCCCGTACTGCCCCTTTAGTGTTGCCACCTGCTCCATCATAGAGGGGGGGGGGGGGGGGGCAAAGGGCAGAGAGCTCTGTTTCATCCCAGCCCTCCGTTTTTCTAGCCCTGCCCTGACATCTGTTTTCATTTTGTCTTCAGTTCTCTCTCCCGTCTTATGTCCTTCAAACTCTGTGCTCTCTTCCGTGCCGTCCAGGGTTCTGCCTCTTTTTGCTTCTTGGGATTTTTGGGTGCGCTAGCTGCTGTCATATTACGCCGCCAGCCCAGGTGTGCCCTCGGTCTCATCCCCTGACCTGTCTTCTGTGATTACGCCTTGGTCTGTCCTCGATCTCATGCTTTGACCCTGTCTTCTGTATCACGCCTCTGTCTATCCTCAAAACTGTCCCTTGCCTTGTGTGCTGCCATGTCTTCAGTCCCACTCCATGTTCCGTACCTGTCCTGTTTTCTGTTCTGATCTCTTTCCTAAGCCCCGTGCTCTTCTGGTCCTGTTCCATCTAGGATACGATGCAGCACTATCACTGTCTTGATGCCCTGTATCTGGTCATGCTGCATATAAGGTTGAGAAATGTCGTCTTTCTATGCTGTGGTTAGACTTACCTGCTACCGGCAGTGATAACGCCACCAGCCAAATGGCCAATTTTGTCGGTTTAAAGGACGTTTCTATAACCGCTGAAGTGGCAGCAGAAGGAATGTCTCGTAGAAATCCATACTGGAAAAAATTATTGCAGTACAGGCAATGCCGAAGGTAAGTTTTTGAAGCATGATATTTTTAGTGTTACATGACTTCCGCGTATAACACATAATCATGTATCTATCTATCTATGTATCTTTCCATCTATAGGTACCGGTAGAAGAAGAAATGTTGCTCATAAGTCAAAGCTGTATATGTTTCACAGTTAAATAAATGACGGTCATAGTTTTTGAGCCATAAGTTTTGTTGTGTAGCAAAAATGCTATTACAACTCCTAGTAAAAACAGCGTGGCGTAGAACTAATGTCGTGGCGCAGATTCCGTCGGTCACGCCATCTGCACTTGCACTAATGTCACGCCGCTCACACTGCGGTCAGGGTCGGCTCTTGCGGACACCGCGGAGCTCCTGATGGCGGTGGCCATGGGCCTGTCAGAGGTGACCCCAGCGCGGCTGAGTGGTCGTCACGCCCCCGCTCACGCACCGCTGTCTGCCATGTGGAGGCGCCGCCGACGGGCGGAGCGCCAGTCCGGCTCAGAGTGCTGGCATTTGGCTGCACAGCCGTGGTGGTGCCTCGTTGCTGCTGCTCAGCACAGGGGCAGGCTTGCGGAGGGATGTAACTGCGCCGACGCTGCACAGTCAAATTCATCACGGCACCCAAACCAAGACTGAGAGCTTCGCTGTCCACGGACTTGACCTGTTGAACACACGCACAGGCGCACGCACACGCACACGCACACGCACACGCACACGCACACGCACACACGCACGCACACACGCACGCACACACACACACACACACACACACACACACACACACACACACACACACACACACACACACACACACACACACAGACACGCACGCACACACGCACACGCACAGCGCGGCTACGTCATTGTGTGGTCCTCTTTATTTCTTGGGAAGTATATCCCGAACAGTTCAGCGCATGGTACTACAGTTCAGGCCAGCCTAGATTTGAAACATTTAACCCTGATCTGTACGTATCTTCTTCCTAATATCTGAAGTATTTATTGCCCGTCACCACCCCTTCCAAACTTTACAAGGAAAAGGGGATAACTAAATTACGAAGTCGTCCCTCTGCAACGCCTCTTTTGTTTGTTTGCGCTAGATTCCTTTGTTCAGCACCTCTGAGCACGCGGCGTGGCTAGATCGTGCCCATTAGTCGCTGTCATCACCCGTTTTAAGGTCATTCTTGGTCAAGACCGCATGAGGTGAAAAGTCGAATATTGTTCATCAAAAGGGCCTCCAGTGCTTTTATATCTGGACCGAGGACACTTCATGGATTGGATTTCCAGTATCCAGTCCAGTCCAGTTCATTACTCCTGAATCCAATCCGCCAAGATTGCACCCTTTGACGAATGCCAAATCTAATCTGGCCCAATGCATTAATGTAAAGACAGTTTGCAACATAATCCGTATGAAAACATAACTTGACACTCGGTTTGTCAATCCTTTTCAATTAAATTAGAACGGACAATCCTTGTATCTAATCCCGTTCTAATCCATTTATTTGTCACGATTTGTCCAATTCGTGAATGGCTCTCTGCAGCCGAATCGACTGCGATGCCTTCGATGCGTCAGTTCCAATTTAAAGGTCATCAAGGTAAATGGCAGGGCAGAAATGCTATGGCAAAGTCCTGAAAACCGCTCAAAGCACTGCTGCACACAGTTCAGGGGACCGACATCATCGCTGCAACTGAAGATCACAGGTTCATGGTGAGCGCTCAGAAGTTGACGGTCGTGGCCAGGAAGAGTTGTGGCCGTGTCATATGTCATGAGATTATTACGATATTGCCACGATGAGCTCACATACCTTCGCAGGAATGAATCTTACCACGCACGCACCTTGACTATCTCACCCTTACTCGCGTCTTCATGCGGGGCTGCAGAGAGACGGCAGAGTCAAACGCCGACTCAGCCTGTCCATCTATCCATCAGCAGAAAATGGGACACATGAAAGTGGCGAGCGCGTGCGCACCGAGGCTTGGAATACCCTTCCAAGCTTTCATCGCGCACATTCAAAGAATTTAAGTTCGGACAGCGTCATGTCGCCAACCAGCTATTCATCAACCTCGACATGATATTATTTCGCCCGAAATTTTAATAAATTGTAAAACGACGTTGATACACTCTAGGGTCCTTGATTAACAATGATGGGATAAACAATGTTTGAGTTTCCTTCGAGCCACGGCACGCTGAGAGTGAAATAAAAACGCCGTCAATAGCTCCGCCGGCGAAGAGGGACGTCAAATGGTGGCCGGCGGACAACGCCTAAAAACCCCCACATGTGCAAAATGGATTCTTCCAAGTGATCATGACGTCAGTGGTTGAGCCGCACGGCCAATGGGCGAGCTTTCATAGCTTCCCAATATCTGGAGTATGATGGCGCCTGCCGCGCCTGCCTACCGAGCGCTGCCGTGGATCGACCGAGAATGCGATGAATGCTGGTTGGTCTGGTGTTCATCCTGTAATCTGTTCACAGCCCGTCACAATTGACCATGACCTCGACGGCGAAGGTCAACCGCAACTGTCCACCCCGGCAGAGGCGAAGGCAAGGGGGGGGGAGGAGGACACTGGGTGATGTGTTTCCTTGTTAGGCCCAAAGGGGCCCAAAAGGTTCCTCGGAGTAAAGGCCCCTCAACAATAGGGCCTGGCGAGCTGACAGGAATCCGGATGAGAGACCCCGGCCCCGGAAGGACGGTGGCGAGAAGATGCCGATTGGAGGGTCCCTTGTGTCAACGGGGGGGGCCACAAGGATAGTGTGGGACCTTCATATGCGGATGGGCTCTCATAAGTCGGTTAAGGGCTCCCAATATTGAACGGCCGGTGAAGTGTTGGTCTGGTGGACAAATTCCCGGGCAAATATAAAACGGGAAAAACAGGAAAAAAGCTCGGACGTGACTATTGTGGGGGCTGAGCTAAAGTCTCATTAGCCTTTCCTGATTTTTACAGTTGCCTTTTGTCAAGCTCTGTGTCCACCCTCCACCTTTACCAAGGCTGTGATTGCACCCGTGAATACAAGTCAGAAGTCCCGGATTATCAGAAATTGCTACGGATCATCTTTAAACCACCATCTCAAACCAACATCCCAAGCGAAATTGACACTGCCCACAAAAAATTGACCGAATAAAGGTTTCCTGCAGGCAATCCATTCATTTCTGAAATGGTAGCTCCTAATGCGACACTTACGGTGCGCATGCTACAGTGAGAAACAACCGATTAATTCGATTAATTCCACAATTGCTAGTTTCTCATTTTTGACATTCTTATCACCAGCGCGTCAAGCATTTCAACACCACAGAACTGCAGAGTAGCGGGAAAGCATCGTCTTGAAAAGGCTGTCGTAATATTCAGTGGCAGCCCCCAGTTGTTTGCAGCGTATCGATGGCCATGCCCTTTAATCAAGCATATTGCAGGTGTGTTTTAAACCCTTGTCTTTCTATCCATCACCTCACCCTGTTTTGCATCTGCAGAGATCTATGTATTTTTGACTGAGTTACATTTTGAGGCCTGAGGGTGCTTGAGAATCAGTTTGCCTACTTCATAGCATAGGGTGTGCATCAGGGTCAGAAAGTTCTTGAATTATGCTGGTTTACCTCATGAAATCTCATGAAAAGAATGACTGAGTTTACAGCACCCTGCTGTGCATGATTGAGGGTTTTCGATGCTTGGTACTGTCATTATATTATATTTATACATGGATGAATAAGAGGTTGTGGGGCTGGCTCCATGGTAGATACCTTGTTCATGGCAGTGTCATCACAAAATCCCCATGCATCAAAATGACCACATGTTGCACATTGCATATGGAGCTGGTCCAAGGCAAATGAGTGTGATATCATGCAATTTCAAAACATGAGCATCATGCATAACTTAACATTAGTTATTTGGAAATATTTATCATCAGAACATTCCCCATTTATGAAATAGAAGAGATCTTCTTTCTTATGCTCCATATAGCACCAAACCCTGATATTGATGTTAAGTAATAATTATTTCATTCTGTATCTATTAATTAGCCTGTTTTATGTCACATCCAGAGGTAACTGCTGAGGGCATAAAGGGTGAACAATTAAATCTCACTCCCATTGTGTTCAGCTTCCATAAGCATTATCCCAACATATGATGAGATATGTTGCAAACCTAGGTTTGGTTTAGACTAGTGTGACATGAAAAATAACCAAGACATTCATGCTATCACGGGGTGTTGTTGTCATTGGGGTTTTATAGCACACTCAGCTGCAAAGGCTATGTAAAGGGTGGAGAACCTTTCACCTTTGCAGGTAGGCCAGGCACTGCACGGACTAAAATCCAGCGTGTCTGGTTTTTCCAGTTTGTAGCCTGAGCACTATTTCTGCTCCATATGTGTGAGTTGTTGAAATGATGAAACATCCAGTGGGAGCAGTCACTTGTATATAATAGGGCTGCTTTGATTCCCAGCTAATGCTTTGAAAATTGCTAGCTTCTAGCACTTTAAATGAGTGCTTATTAACAATTGCAGCATGCCTCTTGAAAGAAATGATAATCATTTGTTACAAAATGTGCATATCTGGTAATGCATACTTCATTTCCTATCAACATGTCTCATTAATGAAATCATTAAAGGACAGAGGCCACTCAGATCAGTTCTGTGACATGTTTACATGCATGCACATTGTACACTTCATGGAACATAGTGTACTCCCTGCACCACATCTGTTGATTGTGTTGGATTAATGAGGACAATGTTTTCAGATGAAATAACTGCAAATCTACAGATAAGAGAACAGCTTCCAAGAAGCTCCAGTTTTTTCTGCTAGCCATGGATCTGAAGGAAAAGCTCAAGACATTGATAAACAAACCAGTGAGTATAACCCTTGAATATGTGCTATGTTGTGTTTCAAACATATGACATACAACAGCCTGGTGACTGATGCATTATACTTTTCACTGCATGAGTGAGTATGTGTCATTACTTGTTTCTGGCTGAACTAATATTATCACAAGTGCTGAAAGGTTGTTGAATGCTGATTTTTTTAACAACCATCAGCAAACCTGCAATGTTTGTGCTTTTTATTATGGTAGGGGCATGCCTAGCCTATGTTCTCAGTCTGCTAACAAAAATTGCTCTGGTTATGTGTGTGTCATATCACACTGAGCTAAACCCATGCTTGTTAGTCAGGAATGTGTTTGATTGGATGTAGAAGGGGTTGTGGATATAATGCCTGCATCCCAGCTTACATGACATAAAACACTGCTGGAACAAGGGCTACATTCCACAAACATTCCAGGGCCATGGCAATTGTAGCAATGACAACTCAGTTGTAAGTGACCCACCTAACCCCTCCCACGCAAGTGGGCACTTTCATCCCCTGCTTCTCCACTCAACATGGCCACCAACACTTAAAGAGTCCCATCACCCATCCAGTCCCCCACCCCAAGCCTGCTCCGCCGGCGGGCCCGCACGCGGCGACTGACCCGAGCCATGTTCCGTCACGTCACGTCACGTCACGTCACGTCACAGGTGCTGCCCCGGGTCAGCTTGCCGCCGCAGCACGCTCCCAACACCTGGGACGCCTCCGAGGCGCTGGAGCGGCGCGTGCGCGTCGCGCACGAGGTCAGCGACCCGGAAGCTGAGCAGGAGGTGCTGGATGGCATCCAGCCCGTGTTCTTCGAGAGCCAGGAGCCGTCGGCGGTGTGCCGCGAGCAGCTGCAGGTGGGAAGGACGGCGGCGGCGGCGCGGCGCTGACGCGGCGTCGCTGACGGCGCCGGTGCAGCCGGGCTGACCAGCCCGCACCCACAAACACTGAAGGGGACCCATGTAGCTGATGTGTGTCATGTTACTTGGCCCTGTTCACATGGTCTGCCACCGATGGGTGACAATGTAACAGTGCGGTCATGTGATTCTGTGACCTTACCGTGATTCTTGTGACCTTAAGAGTCGGACATCTCAGACATGATGTTTTGATGTTTTAGATTGTTGTTGGTAGGTATGCTTAACCGCTTTTCCATTTCATACAAGTTGCTTAAAAACCTGTGGATCGGAAACAATTTATAAATCTCCTTTTTCCTTGTGCCTTCCACGCGCCTGTGCACTCAACGAACCTGTGTCCTCTGTTGTGCCAATATTTGATGCTCGTCAACAAGCTTGGAAACCCATATTGCATAAGCGCACTGCCCGTTACTGAAGCCAAAACTCCGTTGGGGGCTCTCCCGGCATTTATAGATGGTTAGTTGCCAGTAGACCCCCATCAATCACGGCACTCACGGAGTGAAACATGGAACTTGGCATCTCTTCGACCATAGACTCGCAATGTGTAGCTGTCTCCGTCTTCGCCCCCCCCCCCCCCTAACACCAGGTGAACCACAATACTGACACCTTGGAGATGGTACCCAGAATTTCTCCCGGTACCTCCCCCTTCCAAGCATGGGTTGCTCCCCAGCACTTTGTACGAAGTTTCACCCCTGCACAGAGCGCACCGTATGACCTTTTGCTCCGTGGTGCTTATATTTTTATGGGCGCTGAAAGTGTTTAGAATCTCTTTCACTGCAACTGTCTGCAATTTTGTATACATACTAGTGCTACGTATAGTATGACATTGTTCTCATGAAAAGGGTGGGACCAGCGAATCACGTTCGAGTGACGATCGTTTATGAGTTAAAAATCCGGATTGGCGCCGCCGGCCGGTTAGCTCAGTTGGTTAGAGCGTCGTGCTAATAACGCGAATGTCGTGGGTTCGACCCCCACACTGGCCAGCGTTTTCTGCCGATATTCGTTGTGTAAGGACTGCCAGACGCTGCCAGCTGCATGGTGCGTTAGGTCACTCAGCGTCGGCCAACGCTCGTGGGTGCACTGTGGCGAAGTAAGGGTCCGCCGTGCGCGATGGTCACCGCCACGACGCTTTAGCCGCGGGCGATAGTGTGTTAACACATCGCTTGGGTATATTCTGTTGCAGTAACTGCATGACAATTTCGTGCAGTTCACTCCTTCACGCACAACGCCATTCACTTTTTCTGCACAAGCGTGACCCGATATGTCTTCCCCGACCCGACGCACGGCTGGTGGACGTCGTCCAATGCACCTTCTCTGACGCTGCTGCAGATGTTCCCGCCGTCCATGGACGTGAACCTGGTGAACGCGCAGCGCCTGATCCTGAAGAAGCAGCTGACAGTAGTCTCCAAGAAGGTGTCGGACATGATTCTACACTGCCAGCCGGAGCACAGCAAGGAGCTGGAGAGGTACCGCCCGCTGCGTTCAGACGTGAACGCGCGACGCTCGCCGCTGTCGGATGGGGAGCATGGTGTGATGTTATGGGCGGGATATGCTTTAAATTCACTGCCCACGTTACAACCAATAACTGATACCCGACCTGTGCTGCCAAAGACGTATCAGTGATGAGGCGTGAAAGGTGACTAGTGATGAGGCGTGAAGAAACAGCAAGGATTTTGGTTTCCCGTTATTGAAATGGTGATGCAAAGACCAGCAATTAGGTGCTTATAGTATGTAGCTTATTATATATATATATATATATATATATATATATATATATATATATATATATATATGTGTGTGTGTGTGTGTAGCTTATTAAGAGGGCGTCAGATGTGCACATAGCTACAACCAAACCAACCATGCTTTGCTGGCCCAATATGTGAGGATATGCGGCATCCGATTCGCGCAACTCGTATCTAACTTGTGCCGCTGCATTATCCCCACCGACGTGTGTCAGTGTCGCCACCATTACCACGCTGGGTCGTCGCCACGCTCTTAACGGCCGCTGCCGATGCCGCGCCCGTCCCGCGCGGCGTCGGCCAGAGCGCGCGCCGCGGTCCCGTCCCGCGCGGCGCCGCCGGCGAGAGCGCGCGGGCCGCGGACTTGGAGCCGCGCCTGACGCCGCCCGGCTCTGCCGCGGCAGGGTGATGCTGCTGCAGGAGGAGCTGCAGCAGACGCTGGCCGTGTGCCAGACGGCGCGCCAGTCGGTGCACCAGGCGCAGGCGCACTTCACGGCCGGCGGTCTGGGCGTGCTGGCCAACTACCGGCACCGGCAGACGCTGCGTGCTGTGCTGCGGCCGCTACACACCATCAAAACACTGGTAACAGGCCTCTGCACACCATCAAAACACTGGTAACGGGCCGCGGCACACCATCAGAACACTGGTAACAGGCTCCTGCACATCATCAAAACACTGGTAACGGGCTACTGCACATAATGAAAACACAGGTAACAGGCCCTGCACACCATCAAAACACTGGTAGCAGGACCTTGCATACCATCATAGCACTGGTAACAACTCCTGCAATTTGTCATGGCATTGATCAGGACACTGGTACGCCAACGGAACACTGGTAATGACTTCAGTTACGTACACTCAAAACGCTAGCATTGACCCTTGCACATCCATGGCACACTTAATATAAGAAAAACAGCTTTCTTCTTCTGGTTTTTGGGCATTGTGGACTTAACGTTCTAATGCTGACGTAACGTCCTTCATTTTATCAGGATTTACTGGTCGAAAGACGTTGTAGTGCTAAATAGTGATTGTGATCGCGCACTCAATATTGTAAGCTGTTCCCATCGTCAAGAGTGAGGATGAGCGCGTGAGACGCTCAGATGATGGCCGCTACAGACCATATGAATTTTAGCTATGACCCCAACCACACTGCCTAAAGTTGGTAAGAACGTTGTGCAGTATACACCAACGGAATGTAGTTAATGCCTCCCCCCCCCCCCCCCATGGTGCCCTCAATCGAAGCACCAGTAACAGACCCAGCACATGGTCTTAATGCTGCTGGCAGCTCCCAAACACCAAAACCCGTCATTGACCGCCCAGCGCACGGGTCAGGTCGTGTGCAACATTCACCTCCACACTGTCAAATCACAGGTAATTGCTGAACAAGGTGTTCAGAATACTGGTCACGGTTTTCGCGCGCCGCAAAAGCGCCAATAACGGGTTCCGCGGACCAGTCAGAAGATGGTAACTGCGCGTGCCCACCTTCCTCACTCTGGAAATGGTCGCTGCAGGCCGAAAAACATGGGTATCCTCATATGAGAGCTTTGGTAACGCCCCCACACACCAGGAAAACGGTGTTCTCGGTGTCCCAAACAATACTGAAACATTGGCAACGCTACCGGCACACGGGCAAAGTATCGTTAACGGACATCCCATTGTTGGACTACTGGGACTGATCATGACAGACCTATCACAGCGCTGGTGTGTACTGTTGCACACGGCCGAAGCGCTGTTGAGAGCCCCTGCAGTCTGCTCCACCAGAGGGCGTCGGTCGCACTCTCATCGAACTCTGCAGGGGTAATCCCCACTCGGTTCGTTAACCGGAGTCAATACCTTGGTGGCACTGACTGAAGAAAGCCCGTTAGCGAAACGACGCCATAGCGAAAGGCGGGTGAACCCCGTGTCGCGTTCATTTTGTCCAGCCACATTCAGAACGACTTTGAAAATGTTATGCCGGACCACACAGTACGTGATGGAAAAACGCGCTGACAAAACGAGTTGGGTAACAAACGACCCTCCAATGCGACTTTAAGGCTGCCACAACCATTTACGCCTTTTCCGCATCAGCGTTGCCCATGCGTCGTCCTGGCTCGAGTCGTCATTTTGCCTTCATAGCGTTGGCCCTGCGCAGCAGGACTATAGAATATTTGGCCGAATGCGACCATTGTCCCAGCTCGTAGTGTTCCAGCAGCAGTCAAGGACTGATGGCCATACGCCTGTTTGTTAATAGCCTCATGCTTTTCCGTTTATACAGGTAGTAATGACCGCGATTTCGGCTGCGACGCGTGCGACTGCGCTGCGGTAATGGCACCACACTGTTGCAGGCCTGCACGTGCCGTCATCAAAATTGCGCCATCATTTGCACCCGCCGCCGTACGACATCGACTGAATTTGCTGGCCTCCACGGGGTCACCACCGCAGTGTTCTGTTCCATGGGGGATTATGAGCCTGTCGTTGACCTGCTGAACCGTGTTGACGTGGAACCGACCGGGCGTAACCGAGATGATTGAAGGCTGCGACCTGCCCGTAATGCCCCGTGAGCAATGACGGTGAAGAAAAGCCTAGCCACTGAGACAAAAACGCGTGCAACAGAAACATCTCCCGGCCTCATGGGTCGGCGCTAAATCACTGCCGTGCGAGTTCGACTACGAACGTTTTCGCCATGGTGCCTGTTGATGAATGCGCTTCGCTCTGCGGCCGCCGCATGGCCCGCCGTCTGCGGTCCCGTCCAGCTGACACGGCGCCCCCGCCCCCTGACGCGCGTGCGTCCGTGCCGGCCGGCAGCAAATGACGGAGGCTCGGCTGGAGGACCTGCTACGCGCCGAGGACTACCCGGGCTGCATCCAGCTGCTGCAGGAGTGCATGAAGGCGGCCGCCACCTACCGGCACTTCAGCTGCGTCAGTGACATGACAACCAAGCTGCAGGACACGCTCGACATGGCCGAGGAGCAGCTGGACGTCGGTCTCAGCAAGGTGGGCCGGGCGATCGGCCGGACGGGCGTAGGTCTGTGCCCGGCCGCCGGCCGGACGGGCGTGGGTCTGGCCGAGCGACCGCCGGCCGGACGGGCGTGGGTCTGAGCCGAGCGGCCGCCGGCCGGACGGGCGTGGGTCTGAACCGAGCGACGCCGGCCGGACGAGCGTGGGTCTGGCTGAGCGGCCGCCGGCGGACGGGCGTGGGTCTGACCGAGCGGCCGCTGGCCGGACGGGCGTGGGTCTGGCCGAGCGGCCGCTGGCCGGACGGGCGTGGGTCTGGCCGAGCGGCCGCCGGCCGGACGGGCGTGGGTCTGGGCCGAGCAGCCGCCGGCCGGACGGGCGTGGGTCTGGCCGAGCGGCCGCCGGCCGGACGGCGTGGGTCTGACCGAGCGACTGCCGGCCGGACGGACGTGGGTCTGACCGAGCGGCCGCCAGCCGGACGGGCGTGGCGGCGCCGGCCGGACGGGCGTGGGTCTGGGCCGAGCAGCCGCCGGCCGGACGGGCGTGGGTTCATCTCGGCCGAGCCGCCCTGTCTGAGCGTGATGCGGTGGTGGAGGGCAAGATGCGGGTGGGCAACACGCGCCTTAAGCGGCGGCGAGGTAGTTGTCCCGGGTGAGCCTCTTTACGCTCTGAGCAGGGTGGGCGGGGCGTGCCCCGGGTGAAACGCGCGTGATCGTACCGCGGTGAGGGTTAAGGGAGTCTGGAAGTGTCTGAGCTGGACAGAATGCCACTCTCAAAGCCCTCCGTTCGTTTTTGGCCCGAATCTTCGACTGGCTGAGACAGGGGTTTGAGTGCCTCAGATGGAACGCACAGAGAGCGGTGATGAGAGGTAGCACAAGATGGGCGCCCTTTTGTCGGCATGTTTGCCTCCATCGTGAAAGCTTGGTCCTGCCTTCTGTCATGGATCATTGTTAGCGATCATTGTCGTATGGTCATGCCGCTAAACAACATTTTAACATAGATCACATGAACTTATGCCCATCACGCAACACAATGCACATATTAAGATATCATAACATGAGCGTATAAACCGCATTTTAGAAGACAGCATTTTAGCTCCTTCCTTTACGTAGTTCAGTCAGTCCTCAACTTAGGCACTTTAACCGTGAACTACCCCGACCTCATCGACGATCAGCCTTGCGGCGGGTGGCTCGTCACAAACGTCACCGAATATCACTACCCGACGCCGGCCCTTTCGCTACCTTCTCCACCCTCCTGGCGCTACCCTCACCGCCCGGCTGGCGCTACGCTCCCCAGCCTGCTGGCACTCCTCACCAGCCAGCAGGAGCTAGAGCCGAGCCCTCGCTGACGACGGCTGCTCGCGCCGGCAGCTGTGCACGCGGTTCGACGAGCCGCGGTACGCCCGGCTCCAGGAGGCGTACCTGCTGCTGGGCAAGACCCAGACGGCCGCCGACCAGCTGCTGATGCACATGACCTCGGCCGTGCACAACACCAGCTGCCAGCTGGTGCTGGGTCACGTACAGCTGACGCGGCCAGCCGGGCCCGACCGGCTGCAGAAGCGGCAGTATCAGGACCTCTGCGCGGTGAGCACCCCCGCCCGGGGTTCGGGAGGAGCGGCCCGGCTGCCGGGATGGAGTCCGCTCGGGCTGAGAAGCTGCAGCGTGGCAGGGTTTGTGCGTATGGTGTCCTCGCGCGCAGGGCGGAGATTATGAGGACTGGGATAGCGCTGGGTGTGTGGATGGTGGTGTGGGAGTAGTCTAACCGCGTTACGTACACGCATCTGCTTTTCCTCTCCCCGATGTGGTGGCATCTCGCGCCAGTGTTGCGATTTCCTGTTCATAATAGGTTGCTGGAACTTGCTGGTAGGCGGGCGTTTAAGTAAAAGTTGCCATGGCGGGTGCCGATGGTGTGCTGACAAACTGGCAACAATGATTTGATGCCTCGCGTCAGCGGTAAATGAGCTGCTCTCTCACGTGCCCTGGGCTATCTCCCTTGCGGGCAAGGTCCCGGGCACACGTTCCAGAAGAAAACGCGCGTGGCCAGTGTGGGGGTCGAACCCACGACATTCGCGTTATTAGCACGACGCTCTAACCAACTGAGCTAACCGGCCGGTGGGCGCGGGCGGTCGCAGTGACCATCGGTGGCGCCTCTGCTGCAGCTCATCCCGTCGGAGAGTGTGCTGCCGTGCCTGACGGACCTCTGCCGCGTCCTCTGGACCATTCTCTACAACTACCACAGCATCGTACAGTGGCACCGGCGACGGCTCGCCGCCGAAAACCCGTCACCAGGTCGGCGGACGCGCTAGGCCCGGTCGCTAGGCGGCGGCGGGCGAGCGGGAACGGTCGCGGATGGTGTTTGACTCTGTTAATTGATGGTATTTCACGTATTTGAGTAATGTCCTGAGCCCGCTCGTGCTGCTAATGTCCCTGCTGAAGTTGATAGCGAATGGCGTGGCGCGTAGTATCAGCTGATGTCAGTCAACACGAGCTCGAATTCCAGACGAGTGAGCCCAGAGCTGGAATCTTCGCCGGCGAATGACACAGACTATCACGTCGATGTTCCCCTATTCTCGGGCTGGTTCTGCTCGTTGCATTCACTGCGCCCACACGCTCTGCGCAGCTGCCAGTCGCCATATATACGCATTATCAGAGCTTGTGGTGAAGCTCACCAATCATTGCTCACCTCAGCAGTGATCTGTCATGGCCTCTACAGAGGGAGTGTTGATTGACTAGAGTATCCGCCGCCCCAGAACACCCATTACTCACCTCAGCAGTCACCTGTCATGGCCTCTACAGAGGGAGTGTTGATTGACTAGAGTATCCGCCGCCCCAGAACACCCATTGCTCACCTCAGCAGTCATCTGTCATGGCCTCTACAGAGGGAGTGTTGATTGACTAGAGTATCCACCGCCCCACAACACCCATTGCTCACCTCAGCAGTCATCTGTCATGGCCTCTACAGAGGGAGTGTTGATTGACTAGAGTATCCGCCGCCCCAGAACACCCATTACGCACCCAAACTTCAACAAATGGTGAAGCCTCTTGAAATGTTACCAAATGGGACCTCTTCAAACGTTACCCCAATATCTTCAAATGCTAACCCTTGGGCTCTTATGTGCATCCGAAGTTGACTCAGCGCGGTGTGCAGTGCCTGAATTGGTTGGGGTGTCCCACGCTAGGCTGTCCTCTTCCCACGGCGAGCCTGACAGCTTGCGTCCCGGCCACAGGCGGCGGCGACCGGACCGTCCAGCGTTAGACTAGCCCCTTCCCGAGCGGAGCTCGACAGCACCGCTGCCCCAGGAGAGACGGAGTCTTCCCGTGCCGCACGCGCCCCCTCACGCTATAACCTCGAGGGCGCCTCTCCGCCGCCAGAGACGGAGTCTGCCGAGCTGGGGGTGAACCGACGCTACGTGGCGCAGAAGCTGGAGCATGGCCGCGGCCGCATCTGGCTGGACGTCCAGGGGCGCGTGCGCACCTACCTGCTGGCCGCCGAGCTGGCCCACTTCAAGTTCGACGACTTCATACAGATCCTGGACGTGGTGCACAGGTGGGTGTGGGTGGCCGATGGACTGAGCTAACACGATGGGCGGTCTTAGCATACTGGGAGGGGGGGGGGGGGGGCGTCATATGCGTACGGCACGCGTCATGCGCTCTTAAAACTTGGCAAGAAATGTGCGTGGCTTTGTGCAACGTGCATTTGCACAACCCCTTGTACACCACTTGCAGGTCTGTGATAATTTATCGGCGCCGGGCAGTCGGCGACGTGTCACAATTCCAGCGTTGTGGGCCACATGAGCGACGGCGCCGCTCAGCCGCGGAGCCGGGTCCCTGGGCGGGTTTGAACCCGGGACCTGCCGCTCACTGCCGACCCGCGTCTCCTCCCGGCGATCGGCAGGCTGCTGGAGATCGGCGAGGAGCTGAGCGGCCAGGAGGGCGGCCCGCTGGAGGAGGCCGTCAAGAAGCAGTGCGTCGCCTTCTTCCGCGTGTACCACCGCGCGCGGCTGGAGGAGCTGCGCATGTTCCTCGAGAACGAGGCCTGGGAGGTGTGCCCCGTCAAGCCGAGCTTCTCACTGCACAGCCTGCAGGTGAGCAGGCCGCGGCGCGATCAGGGCCGGACTGGGCGCGGCGGTACTTTGACGGACGATCTCGCGCGCTCTGACGCGCTCAAGTCGAGTGGCTGTTTTAACTAACATCGGTGTATCGTTCTCGCAAAGCACGCCCGTAACATAGGTCTGTAATGCTGTGTACGAACCTCCAACTTAACCACTGCCTCTCACTCACTGGACTCATTGATTCAGGTCTGATTCACTAGATTTGTCCCGTAGGATGCCGGCAATCGGTCGGCCCCGGTCAGGTCACACTGGCTCGATGATCCTCTCCCGCTGTGTCGCTGCATGTCACGCACAGCGAAGCCCGTCACCTAACAGCTTATGGAACCTTGAAGCCCTGCCCCGCTCTGGACCCCAGGAGTTCAAGCAGCTACGGCGCCAGAACCTGCTGTGCGCCGGGAAGGGCGCCGAGCCGGCGCCACGCACGCGCTACTTCGAGACGCATGACACGGAGACGAACCCGTTCGACGTCAAGCTAGACGCCACCGTCGACGAGGACATCCTAGCCGGTGATCTGGTGAGCGGCTGATCCGGAGGAGGCGGTCTGGTGAGCTGTCCCGCCCCGCCATGCCCCGCCACGTCTCACCACGCCCCGCCACACGCCCCGCCACATGCCCGCTAGGGGTGCACCCTGGTGTGTGAGTGGTTACCAGGCCGATAACATGTGGGACCTGAAAGGTGTTATGTGAATGGGTGAAAGGTGAGCCGGATACGGCTCATAGGCAGGCTCCACGTGAACAATCTGTGGCTTGCCACGCGCGTGACTCGATCCGCCTCCGCGCATGACGCCGGTCACTGACCTGACCTGGCCTGTCCCCTGTGTGTGACCTCTGCTGCTGACCTGACCTGGCTCGTCCCGCGCGCCAGACGGACGAGGAGTCTGACGAGGAGCCGGACGAGCTGAAGGTGGAGCGGGTGGAGGAGGCGCCCGGCGACGGGCCCCACCGGCCGGCCGTCACGTATGTGCTCCGCCGCCGCCGCCGCCGCCGCCGCCGCCCCGGCCGGCTGCACCCCGTGGGGCTGGTCCGAGTGCTCCCGGCTGTGGATGGATGCTGCGCGTGGGAACGATGTCGCATTTTGTGGTGTCGCATGATGAAACACACTACTGTTGTGATCGGATGGGTGAGAAGAAAGTTTTTTTGTATGGAGATGACTGTGCTTGACCATTTTTGTCGTGATTTTGGTGGTGGTGGTGTCTGTCTTTAGTTACGGGTGGTGGGTTGTCTGTCTTTAGTTGTCTTATGGGTGGTGCGGTTGTCTGTCTTTAGTTACGATCGTTGGTGAAGCTATGTGAATGTTTTCAGAGAAGAGTCTTGTCGAAATGGGCTCCTACATGTGTTGCATGCTACTGGATCTCGTTTTATAGCCAGAGCGTTGTCATCATTCGCGTTGTATGCTGCCCGATGCACATTTCCATCCGGTTTGCGTGCGCTGGTCGGTTGAAGCCAGGAGCCGTTGCGTGCAGGTCTCTGCGCCGTTCTGTGGGGGATTCCGACCATATGCGCCAGGTGGCTAGCGCGGCTTCACGTGCCGAGCTGCCGCCGGTCCTCACGCCAGCTCTGTCCTGCAGCTCGGAGCGGCGGACGCCGGTCGCGGCTTTCCGTGCCGGGCTGCCTTCGGTCCTAACACCGGCGTTGTACTGCAGCTCTGCGCGCCGAGTGGCAACCGCGGCTTTCCGTGCCGGGCTGCTGCCGGTCCTCACACCAGCGCTGTCCTGCAGCTCTGCGCGCCGGGTTCCGGCCGCGGCTTTACGTGCAGGGCTGCCGCCGGTCCTCACACCAGCGCTGTCCTGCAGCTCCGCGCGCCGGGCGCCGGCCGCGGCTTTACGTGCATGGCTGCCGTCGGTCCTAACACCAGCGTTGTACTGCAGCTCTGCGCGCCGAGTGGCAACCGCGGCTTTCCGTGGCGGGCTGCCGCCGGTCCTCACACCAGCGCTGTCCTGCAGCTCTGCACGCCGGGCGCCGGCCGCAGCCGTCCTCTCGCCGCCGGTCAGCTCTACGGCGCTGCACCTGCTGCGCCTCTGCGGCCGCTACCTCCACATGATGGCGCTGCTGCGCACGGTGGCGCTCGACGTGGTCGTCTGCCTCAGCCAGCTGTTCGACTTCTACCTGTACACGGTGTACAGCTTCTTCGCCGCTCCGGTACGGCTGCCCCTAGGATTTGTCGGTGTGGTCTGCGCCATCGCACGTAGTGAAATGTGTGTTTGTACTGTGTTTGCGTGGGGAGTCACGGAGAGGAGGATGGTCGGGGTAAAGTGTCATGTAAAGGGGAGGGATGTGTGCGAGCTGAGCTATCCGTGGGTGTCCCTGGTGTCACGCAACGCCGCTGGGAACGTGGTCAATGAGACGGACGTGGTGCTAAGGATTTGTAAAGGCTCGCTTTCGACCCGTTTGTGACCTGCGAATGCTGTGTCGTGCACCATCGGCTGGTCCGGGCTTGTCGAGTTTACCTCTGTCTCGTGTGCCTTCCTGTTGAGACCTGTCTAGACTGAGGTCCCGCATATTCCCAAATATGTACCGGGATTTCTGAACTCGTCTCTCCGTGCGCCCTCGTCTCCACTGTCACCCTGTCACTGCAAGCATTACCTCGGTGTCGTCTTCTTGGACCCTCCTGGCGCCCCCCACCACGACACCCTCGCCTCAGAATTAAGCCCTCCCGCTACGCCTGTCACCCAGTGTCTCTCGCTCACACGCGCGCTTACCAGCACCACGCCCTCGTGACGCCGCCGGCGCCGCCAGGACGACGCCGGCAGCTCGCCGCGGCTGGTGGCCGCCCTGCAGCGCATCTCCGAGCAGCTGATGCTGCGGCCGGAGTCGGCGGCCGAGCCGGCGCCGGCCGCCGGCCCGTGGCGCGGCGAGCGCGTGCCGCCGGCGACGCTCAGCCCGTCCGTGGAGCTGCGCCGGCCCGAGGCGCTGCACGGCCTCGCCGCCCGACTCGTGGCCGCCGAGTCGCTCGTGTTCATCGCCGGTGCGTGCGAGGTGGCGGGTGTGAGGGAGCGGATGGGCAAGGGGCGGACGGGCAGGGGGCGGACGGCCAGGGGGCGGGCGGACAGGGGGCGGACGGACGGGGATGGATAGGCAGGGGCGGACAGGCGCGGAGCGCTTTGGAATGGAAGTGTAGCGGTGCGTCTGCGTGGTGTGGCGCTTAGCGAGCGCTTCCTGCCTGCCATGTGTCGACTGACCACGTTTGTTTAACGTTAGGATTTTTTCGTCATCAAGTAGGCTCTTGATCTGTGATTTCATCAAGTTCTTCTCGCAAGTGGGTAACCATCATTGCTGCGGGATAACCCTCGTTATCTTTTAACCCGCGCCATCCTTAGTGTGGCTGAAGACAACCGGCCCATCAACAACCAGAGTGCACCCCATCGGTCGGTATATGAGCACGTGCCATCGACATTTGACGCCCGTCCCCTGATGCGCCGGGCCCCCTCTGACCTCAGGTCAGCTGGAGCAGATCCGGGGCCACCTGGAGGGCAGTATCCCGCCGAGCAAGCGACTCTACGTGCAGCAGTTCTATGGACAGGTGGGCCGACTGCGCAGGAGTCTGCGGATCAAAAGATCGAACTCAGTTCGAGAGTCGCATCAAGTCGTCTTGGACACGCCATTCCGTAGGATGTTGTTGGCCAGTTTTCATCATTAGAAGACGTCGTGTTTCTCTGCTCGCTTTTATGCTGGTGCTTCCCAGCCCGTGCACGCTATACAACCGTGACCTTACGGTGTCTTTTTCGGAAGCTGAATAACAAACTTGAAACAGGAAGCCGGCTGTCGCGCTGTACACACGCGGCAGCGAACAGACGCGCCCCGGGCGATCTGGCGGACGTCTGAGCCGTTGACCCCTGGGGCTCGGGTGGAGTGAGGCGCTGACGTAGGCGCCTGTCTATCCCATATAAATCTCCGCATTATTGACGCATGCAGCTGCCAAGATTATTAACATCTCTGGATACTGGCGAAACGGGAGCCAGTGAGTCACCGGGTGTCGGGATACGGCGGCTGACGTGCTCTGATGTGGCCGCTCGTCCGTCGTCTGGGGATTGCCACCAGCTGACGGGGGTAGCTGAGCTGACGTGCTGACGAAGCTGACGTAGACGGCTGACGACTGCCCTAACCAGCTGACGTGGATTCATGTGCTGGCGTGGCTGACGTGGCCGCTGTAGTGTGGCTGTCGCCAGCTGATGTGGCCGACGTGGCCGCTAGAGTGTGGCTGTTGCCAGCTGATGTGGGCTGACGTGGCCGGTAGAGTGTGGCTGTTGTCAGCTGATGTGGGCCGACGTGGCTGACGTGGCCGGTAAAGTGTGGCTGTTGCCAGCTGATGTGGGCCGACGTGGCTGACGTGGCCGGTAGAGTGTGGCTGTTACCAACTGATGTGGGCTGACGTGGCTGACGTGGCCGCTAGAGTGTGACTGTTACCAGCTGATGTGGGCTGACGTGGCCGGTAGAGTGTGGCTGTTGCCAGCTGATGCGGGCCGACGTGGCTGACGTGGCCGGTAGAGTGTGGCTGTTACCAACTGATGTGGGCTGACGTGGCTGACGTGTGACTGTTACCAGCTGATGTGGGCTGACGTGGCCGGTAGAGTGTGGCTGTTGCCAGCTGATGCGGGCCGACGTGGCTGACGTGGCCGCTAGAGTGTGACTGTTGCCAGCTGATGTGGGCCGACGTGGCTGACGCGGCCGGTAGAGTGTGGCTGTTACCAACTGATGTGGGTTGACGTGGCCGGCAGACGGTGGCCGTGGCGCCGGACGTGCGCGGCCCGGTCTACTTCCCGGTGACGTCACGGCTGATGGACTCTGACGTCATACTGATGCGCATGGCTAACGTCAACTGGGAGGTGAAGGAGCTGTGCAGCCAACACAACGCCTACGTTGACCTCATGCTGCGGGTAAGAGCTGACTGCAGACGTCGTATGGACGGCACGCTCAGCCTCACGTGAACCAACTGATGGTGATGATGAAGGAGTATTCTTAATCCGATCACCTGTGTCGGCTCTTGATCCATGTCTACGTGAATTACTGTACTAATCTTCACCGACATTCACGCTCACGTCGCTAAGTTTATGTCCCCGAAACAAAAGATGGCACTGCCGAAGGCATGTTTTTGCTCGATCTTGCCTTGAACGGATATGTTCTGGTGAGTTGTACTGAATGGAAGCTCAGAAGGCAGAGGTTTGGCGCAGAATTCATCAACACATAAGTTTGTTTTCGGCTTTCCAACGTAATATTGTTCGGCAGTCAGGACCACCGGAAATATATTTCACCCTGGTATGGTCTGTAAGTCACCATCAGCTGCGGACTCTAACAGCAGACACGGAACGTTTTCCAACTTTTCAATACCGGTCTACTGATTTTTGTTTCAATAAAGGCTTGTAGCCGAAATATCAATCCATCTATCTCTCCTTTTCCCTGGTTATTCTTCGAGAAATAAGGCTACATGTGCTGTATTATCTATATGCATAATGCTCCTCGCAAATGCACATAGCAACTTACGTAGCTTTTGAACCCCCAGACATTCCACAGACCTGAGATATTGCCAGTTCTGCACTTTGCTCTCGGCCTTAAATCTATGAACTAAAAGTATGTCGTGATAAGAGCACTGGTCTTTGGCACTCTTCTCCCATAACGCCCGGGAAAAGGCCAAACTTTGCGGGATCATTACAGCACAACGTGAAAACTCCTTGCGAAAATGAAGCTATGGAGCGCACCAGGAGAGTTTGCCACAACTTTCCACTTAATTGTCTAGAACACGATGTCTCACTGTGGGCCCAACCTCCATTGTGTGACGGAGTTTTTGGAAAAATCACTGCGTCCTACGAAAGTTGACTTGCCGAAAAATGCAGTCTTTTTTGTGGCCTGCTACGTGACCTGCTGTACGTACACGTGACGCACACGTGTCCTGCGCGTTTGAAGAACACCTGCCCCTGCCGTGCTCAAGTTGCGGGCCTACGCCATCGTTTTCAAGACGCTGCGTGACAAAGTGTGGAGAAAGGGCGCGACCGCGACACATTGCTAGCTCCGTGTGCACCAGCTCTTCCCCTGTGGTTCAGAAAGTGTAAAGATGCTCCCTCATGCATGTTTTCAGTGTTGGGCCATTGAAGGTCAAGGTCACATTATGCTAAAGTTTGAAAATGACGTGAATTTTTCCTCAAACACAGTATGTTATGAACCCGAATGACTGAGGTGCATCGCGGGTAGAGTCAAGCCCATTTAGCCGATTCGAACAAGGGTACTAAGACTGAATTTTCAAAACCACCCAAAGGTGAGTAGACATCAGGAAGTAGAACACTGAAGTACAGCGCAGCTTGAAGCGTCGAGTGCTGCTAATTTTACCGATGTCTGCTTGGTAACGTCGTTAAAGCAGTACCTCCTGGTACCTTGAAGGGTCAATATAATAGCATAAATAGTATGTCGACATAATGGCTGAATTTACAACGCCGAAAAACCAGAACTCGAAACCCTGCTTGCTTATATGAAGCAGACCTTTCGCAATAAGCAGTATGCTCCTCGTGGAAGAAGATCATACATTCAAGCCCATCTACTGATATGGTGGTAAAGGTCATATATGGGCATCGGGTGATCTCACATTTCCCCTTGCACTGAAGGGTGACAAGCTTTGACTTCTATCAGCTGCACGCTACGCACATCTGCAAAACTATGCAAAACTATGACGACCAAAGCGTTGCTTTGCCCGTTTGACTAACCCTGACACAAAATCTACGAGATCCACCAAAATCACTTAGCAAAAGTTCTCGATTACGTTTGGAGCTGCCGTCTCGTCTCCGAAAGTTCGATATCGTTGGGTATGTAATCGGTAAAGGGATTTGTCCACCCCGCACGCCGTGCCAGCTTAGCTGCACCGGCAGGACTAACAAAGGATTCATACTTAATACAGGTTCAGCAGTGCAGTTAACCACCGAACGATTGAACCCTGTGTTGCAAATAGGCACTTTTTGCTTCTCAGTACGCTGATCACAAAAATTGTATGTTTTTTGGGGATGCAAGTGCTTGGAATTTGCTGTTTTAGTCGATAGATGGCAGGAGCGCGGGCATGGCTGAGCTTGAGAGTGGTCGCATGAAACATTAAAGTGGCTGGCATTTGCGTGTGTTATTCTACGATCAATGGAGGACTTATGTCCTTTGAAGCATGGGCTGTAATGATTTCACTTATGCTTAAGATTCCGCAGCTGGCAACACATCCAGCATGAATTCCTAACGCGCCATCATGCGCGTTGGGTGGACCAGACCCAACCGCGCAGACTATCAGATGTCCCGCATGTCTGAGCCGGCGCGCTGCGGCGCTGGGGTGGACCAGAGTTCATCACGCGGACTATCAGACGTCCCGCGTGTCTGGGCCGCGGCGCTGCGGCGCTCGGTACGCCAGCGACTCCGCCGGAATCCCGGAGCCGTCCCGGGCGGGCCCCCGCCGTATTGATGCAAGGCTTGGCCGGCCGGACGGACTGCCACCAGTTAATGGCGTGGTTGGCAGCGGCTTCCACTATTACTGCGGAGCCGTCTAGTGGTGGTGACGATGCAGCTGTCCCGAACGCAGCCAACCCTTTGTGGAGGCGTTTGGCGCGCTCGGCAAAGGTCGCCATGCGATTGGGCAATGCGGCGCATACTGATAAAGGTCGCGAGCAGGATTTTTCGACGTCGTCTCAGATGCGGTCACGCGCATCGGAAATATGGTTGCATTTAGAGCGGCACGTGTGAAATGGTAGCTGGTGGCCTAATTAATGCCGATGCGGTACAACGTTGCATAATCCGGTCGCAAGTAATGGCGGCTAAGAGTAAACGGGCGTCCTGGTGTTTTGACAGCAGGATGCGTCAAACCTCCGAATTCATCTGTTTTGGATGGGACATTTCCAGCCATCCGTCTTGTCGTATGTTCGGCGAGGACCCACTTGTCGTGGAAGTTGGGGCAGTTTATCGGTTGCTGTCGAGCATAGACCCGCCGGCCACATATATTGCGTAATGGCGCCGAGTTACGGAGCCGAGCCGTGTAGCCGTTTCTTTGTTGTAAATCGCTTGTCGTCGTAAGTTGACTTTGGAATCTCGTTGCTTCACGACGGAGGAGCTGGCCATGCGTGTCACGCGATGTGTGGTCCTGCCATGCTGTTGATGCTCATGAGAGCTGCAGGACTGCGGAGTCAATGCGACCAGACCGCCAAATCCCTGACGAATCCAGACGCGTCGCGCGGGTGTTGGTGGGGAACATTAGCCTGAAGTTTGCGCGATCGCCGATTGCCTGGACTTTCACGGAGACCTTGTACGCTCTTGTGAGACCGTAGACGAGACGTTTCATTCTTATGTGTCTTTTTAAGGGCATGGACGAAACCGTCGTATTCGGCATGGTGTGTGAGGCACAGTTTCGGACGGGATGGCTGTTTTCCCTGGGCCGCTGGAGAGGATGCACTTGCACTTGCACTTGCCCTTGCGGAGCCCCTCATCCCCGCCGGCCCGCCGAGCCGGCGGGCTCCCAGCCGCCGAGCCGGCGGACCCCCAGCCGCCGAGCCGGCGGACCCCCAGCCGCCGAGCCGGCGGACCCCCAGCCGCCGAGCCGGCGGGCCCCCAGCCGCCGAGCCGGCGGGCCCCCAGCCGGCCGACGTCATCCCCGGAGGCGCCGTGACCTTTCCAGCGGCGGCTCCGCCCGCGCGTGTGTGTATTCGCCGGCTATTTTGGCAGCGGCGGCGGCGCCGGCGGCCAAGGCGGCCGGCGGCCAGCGCTGGACGGCCGCCGCGCTGCCGCCGGCTTCCGCTCCAGCGGCTTAACGTCACCAGCGGATAGGGCGCGGCCGGCAGGGGTGGTCTGTGGTCCTGTGGTCTGTGGTCTGCGGTCTGTGATCCTTTCATGGTTTGCCAAGGGGCCGGTGGTGATATCGAGAGGGATGGCGATAGGGGCGGTGCCCGGGCAGGGGTCAGTCGGGGATGGCTCGATCGTGAGGGACACAAAGGCTGACGCGCGGCAGGGGGCAGTCGAGAGGGCCACAAGGTGGTGTTTGGGTGGGGGTCAGTCGAAGGAGATGCGGTCGAGAGGGACATCACGTGAAATTAATGCATATTAAACCGATGACTAGACAGTGATCAGGCGTGTGATGATGCTGCCGATAGACGCACGTTGCTCGCATTGTATACGTTCATAGTTATGGACCGACTCAGATAATCGTCCAGTCGGAATGGTCGCAGCTGGATTATCGGGCTGGGGACAAGGCGGTGTTTTAGCTTTTTAGCGTGCTCTCAGCATGCACAAGTTTTGGGCGCATTGGCTTTTAAGTCAGAGAGAAAGGTATAACAGGGGATATGGGCTGATGCCTTGACACTTCTGCTACCGACGAGTTGGGCGCCGGCACAGGACTGCCGTTAGCACGCTCTGCACGGACTGGAGATGTTGGACTACACGGACGGTGCGAATGGAGTTGTTCGCACCACTTCAGTCGCAGCTTGTTTGCGATTGCAAAGGACTAGACGTGCGCTGCAGCTTCGCAGGGATGGTTATGGTCTTCCTACATTATTTGTATTAAGCGGCTGGTGGCTTTGTTATTTAAATTCATCCCGCTTGGATATTACATTGACCCACGTGGTGCGCTGCAGAGTTATGTGATCCGCCCGCCGACGTAACACATCAGAGACGTACAGGCTTCAGTGTGCGCCCCGCCTCACGTGAGCTTGAACGATATCGCTGCTATTTTCCAAGGAAGGAGTTGCTCCGTGTATCCGTACTTTTTTTGTTGGTTACAGGGGAGCTCACGAAGACCATGGTTAAAGCGAATGACTGAAATGGCATAAGTGGACCTAATTGTTAATATTTCATATCGCACTAACACTGCCAAATCATAATTATTCCGTTCATAAGTTTAGCCCAAACTCGTTCTGTATTTTGAGGGCACAGGCCGAGCGGATCTAGCAAGGGTGTGCGTGCGTGCGTGCGGAGGGGGCAGGGCAGCAACGTGAGCATGCTTCCCCAAGACGGTGACAACAGTGGAGCTTCGCTGTGGCATCTGTATTGCCTGACGGTGTTTTATGGCTGGTGCCGTTCACGCACTTTTTATGCTATTGTGTTAAGCCTGACGAAGAGCCTGACGATTTTTTGTATTCAAGTGTATGAGCTCTTGCGGCATGCTTTCTTCACTTATTTTTCGCCTTGAATTTTTTGTAGGAATTTTGTCTTTACGCGGTTATAAAGTCACCGAGTTTTGGCCCCAGCACGAGGTCAGCGGGAGGCGAGTGCTACATTGTGGTCCTTCGACTATCACAGCGTGTTAGTGCATAGCGTTACGGGCGAAGACAATGCGTAACATTGGCATTATCTCGGGCGCTCAAGACTTGTCAGGGTAGGAACGCTGTGATGTGAGCTCACGAGTTTTCTGCTCTTGCCAGAACAGAAAGAGGAAAAAGAAAGCAGAAGAAAACAAGTTTCCAAAATATGGTACACCTCGATGGAGTGAATTATTCCAGTCTCTATGTTTGTTTTTTTACTTTCCATCGTGAAGTGAAGAAGACCTTTAAAGTAAACGTATGTGTAATCTGTCTCGCGGTTTGGGAGTTCCTCATACGACAAACGGTGCCTTACCGGGAGTTTTCCGACCCTTAGCGACCCTTACCTACACTAACTCCACTGGCTAACGCTGTCGGGATACGAGAGCGAACATAAGGACCTGTAAACATGATGTCCGGACACAAATTTCGAATGGCAGAAAGTGGAACGGATTTAGCCGACAGGGATAAATGTCAAATAGAAAAAATGGACGAACAAAAGCCAAAGGGGATGCATTTTGAAAAGGATGAAAATCGAAATGGAAGGTACAATGGCAAGAGCACGAAGCAAATTCGAAAGGGATACAAATTGATCGGGGTGAATCGAATAAGAAAAAGTTTGTAAGACGAAAAGAAATGGGGATAGAAGTCGAATTGGGCAAAAGCCAAACGGCAGAAAGGCGACAGGAATGCAAATCGAAATACAAAAATGTGTTTTGAATTATCTCAGATTCGGACTTTACCCCTGTCGACTTTTATCCCTTTCAACCTTTTTTTTCCTTTTTCGCTCGACTGTTTCATGCGGCTTTTTCCATTTAACTTTTTCTCTGAGAACCTTTGCAAATATACTGCATGTCACGAAAGGTGACGTCGCGTGAGAAGATTGAAATAGCTGCATGACAATGAATACAAACACTACGCCAAGTAAATGTTTGTACATATCATTGTTGTCGATGAAGGTCGAATTTCAAAGCACCGTGAGTGGTAAGCAGGCCCATCGCTATTACAAGATCGATTTACGGCGCAAACGTCACAGGGCATGCGGCTGTATTGGGAGCTGGATCAATCAGGCTGTTTGCGGATCCGTAATTCTGCATGGCTGATAAGCTACGCATTTCGTCACGATTTGTCTTGCTGGAGCAAAGCCTGTTTTTAAACAGATTCAGGTGCGTTGGTTGCCGGCTGTTTTTGGCGAATACGGTCATTTTTCTCGCTGCTCCAGCACCTTTGCCAAACGTTGGCCGCCAGGCAAGTGACAGGCGATGAGGGAGACCCGCCGGTTCCAATGGAGTCTATAATTTTAATGTCCAACGAAAACATCCGTTTGTGATCGGTCCTTGTGAAGGTGAGCCGTTTTATGACCCGTTGGATGATGACGGTGTTTTAGTTGTGTATGGCGCAGCTTTTGAGAAACGCAGATCAGTGCGCGAAACAGTATGTTGTCATTGCGCTTAATCACCTTGATTAATGTGCCGCTGTTTCTGGTTATAGAATACGGGTCTGTCTGGGGGACTAATCTTATATTGTGTGAATCGGGTTAGGAATCGGTCTGCCTCGAATCAAGTAACTCTGGCATGATTTTTTGGTATCAGCTGGTTGAACGTGATATCACGCAGTGCAAGACGATGCATGGATCTTTCTCATCTTGGATGTTTTTCCAACCTTTGTGTTGAGGAACTAGCTGTGCCCGCTGCGTGCCTGAGGTCTGGCAGCATCAGGCCACCTGCATTTTTGCAGCTGTGTGATCTTGTGTATGTCCTTTGTCGCTCTGATCAGCGTTTGTATGGACGTTGTATGTTCTACAAGATTCTTTACAACTGGTCAAACTAGCTCAGCGTGGCCAAGCTGATTAATATTCTCAAGCGGTTTTATTGCAAGTAATCTCCGAACGAGACAGCACAGCCACCCTGCTTCTGGTCCCGTATGACTCGTACGTTACCAAGTGCAACATACCTAATTAGGGACTCCCGTTAGCTTGAGCGGACCGTCGGTACCCTCCCACGAACACTGGGCCGTATTGGGGACTCCCGTTAGCCAGAGCGGACCGTCGGTACCCTCCCACGAACAGTGGGCCGTCGTCGACCACGACGGCGTCTGTGAGGCCGCCTCTGCCGCTCGCAGGACCTGCAGGTGTTCAGCATGCGGCTGGAGGAGGTCGGCCGGCGCCTGCCGATGCCACGGCCCGTGCACGACGCCCTCTGGGACCAGTGCATACGCATGGCCAACCGAGCCTTCGTCGAGGGGTGAGTCGGCAGGCGGCTGGGGCACCGGGCCGACGCTGTGTGTGCTGCTCCGGACGCTGTGTGACGGACAGCACTGGACCCTCTGGGACCAGTGCATACGCATGGCCAACCGAGCCTTCGTCGAGGGGTGAGTCGGCAGGCGGCTGGGGCGACGCGTGCAGAAGTCGCCGCGTGCTGCGCATGCTCTGGACGCTGTGTGACGGGCAGTTCCAGGGCCGGCAGACCACGTCGTCGTCACTGACCGCGCGAAGGTTCAGCCGCGCTGTGCTGTGCCGGCACAGCGATTACGCGAGGGCGATGCCAGGGATGAAAGTGGTCGGTTGTGCTTGGTTACGGCTCATTGCCACGGTTTTTGGCCGTTTCCATCCGCCGCTGAGACTGATGGTCACTTTGGTACTCTGCAACTATGGCAACACGCTCTTAGAGGCTTTCGAAGGTCACGTGTCTGCGGTGAAAACACATTGGTGGACATGGGGACGTGCCCTTGAGGTGCACTCTATTTTAGCTGCGCTATCCTGCTGCCAATGGGGGCCACTTTTGTTTCAAAGCCCTATAAGTTTCCTCGGCGCCGACATCTATTAACGGTTTTCTGTGTTTTGCGATTCGACTGGTCTGGGATTAAGCAATGTAGCGTCTTTATCTGTGAGATTGATGCATGGTAACCGGGTGCCTGTGTACCATGGATGATTCGAACTGATCCTCACTTGCGTTTAAAGGGTAGACTATTGCAAACGTCTCATTCCAACAAACACAACCATGTAAGAGCCACGATAGAAATAGTTGGATCTTGGGGCCGAACGGCTTCTAGCACACCATCAAGATGAGCAAGTGATATGCCACTTTATGCCAACCCCAAAGTACGTTGGTGTGTTATGTAGCACATGTACAACGCCAAACCTGGCTTTTAAAAGCCAGAGTTGCGCCAGAAACCCTAATCACCCCATCAAGTGCCCGTCCCCGGCACACCTTCCCAGCCGGCCTTCCGTCCTTCGTCGCCTCGCGCTGTGGTTGCTGACGCTTCTCCCTCCCCGCAGATTCGCCTCAGCTCGGCGCTGCAGCAACGAGGGCCGGGCGCTGATGCAGCTGGACTACCAGCAGTTCGTGACCAAGCTGGAGCGCCTGACGCGTCTGCGACCGCTGCCGGAGCGCCACCTGGTGGAGACGTACGTCAAGGCCTACTACGTGCCCGAGGCCGGGCTGGAGGACTGGATCCGGCAGCACAAGGTGAGCCGCTGCCGGAGGATACGGACGAGACGAGGTGCGAGTGTGGACACGTGCAGATGGGCTGCAGGCTGGCGGGTCCCGGATTGTCGGAGGCAAATAGCCGATGAGAAACGACAGAATGTTGTGCATCGTGGAATAAGAGGGGGAGATGCCGTGCTCCTTTTAACAGACTAAGTTGAGAAATGATCTGCCTATGGTAGCAATGACAGGTGTGCATTAATTGTGCATCCTGCAAACCGCTTGCTGTCACCGATCGTTAGAACACGTCATCTACAGTGTTCATTCGTGAACGAGCTTCGCCCCGCGACCCGGCTGCTGGCCGACTGGCCGCCCCCGGCCGCCTCCGGCCGCCTCCGTGTTCCGTGACAGCGCGTCCCAAGATACCCGGGTCCTGCGGACCCCGCCCCCTGGCTGGCGCCGCCTGCTAACCCAACCCCGGCCTCTGCCGCAGGAATACACCAAGCGCCAGGTCACTTCTCCTCATTGGCTGCATGAGCCACGTGGGCAAGCGGGCGCGCACACGACTGGTCGGTCTTCTGGAGGAGGACGGGCGGAGATGACCGAAGATGGAACGACTCCGGTGTGGACGACGCCTAGCGAGGCTGTACATCGACGACGCATACCTTGCGTGCGCTGCGCCTGCTGGGGAAGCGGTCGCCGCCTGCAGGGTCCGCTTCGCCCGGAGGTCTCTGCTGCGGCGTGTGGTGACGTTTGATGACGTGTTGCCAATAACGCGAGAGCGGGGAGCTTGTCTGCACGGTGGTGGTGGGTGCACTGGACGTGGGGGCTATATTGTGTGTGATTAACAGTCATTCCCGGAGAGCTCCCCTGAAGTAGAGCTGCACGCTGCTCACCGGCGCACGTGGTGTGAGGCTGTATTGCCAGTTGTTGTTTTTTAAAGCAATATATCAGTGTTCGAGCACCGCTTTGAGTTATGCTTCTTTGCGCCACTTAAAATCGGATGGAAAGGAGGTTCGCTTTAAGAGTAATGAATATGCTTTGGGAGAGATTTTCCAAATGCACTTATAGAATTAACACATGATGAGCCCTGCAAGGAATGGGTCGAACGTGGCGAGAAGGCCGAGTGAGAAGTGAGCTTTTCAGTATCATCACCGAAAAGTACCGCAATAGAAAACTTGGATACAAAACAACCATAGTAGTTCACACGCCGTAAAATGAAAATTTAAAAACAACAATAGAAGGCTACCGACGTCTTCCTTATCATAATTTGCCACTCGAGCACGGGTCGCCGGCAGAAGAGTTCTGAGTGCGGTTCATCGCGCCGGCTGTTAACGTCTCTTTTCGACGACTGCATTCGGCCGAGGGCGCACGTGAAGGGCCTGCTTTCTTTCCGCTATTTAACGTTCAGCGTGGAAGTGCAGCAGCTCACATCCGATACTCGCAGAATATTCTATATCATGCAAAAAGTGGCGTAGACACGTGGCATTTTTGGCGACTGTCTGAGGTTCTTGAAATGTAATAAATAGCACAAATACCACAGCAAGCTGGACGCCATAGCACTTCTGCAGTTGCCATTAGCGCACCGAGACATCTTAATCTTTTGGTTTGGACGCCTCAAATATTTACAGAAATGTTAAGTATAGAATAGCGTAAAATAATTTTGACATGTGATTGATGATATACATAAGGCCTGCAGATAATATCCAAATAATCTAGGTGACTGCCTTACCTTCGCGATGAACTGATTACCTATTTAGCTTTGCTCTTCGGCATCTAATTAGTGTCGTGTTTGCTCTCGAAACTCGCGCCAGTGCAGAAAAACGGGCTTCGAGGAATGATTACTGAGGTCATAAATTAAGCCATATGTTAAGACGAGTGAGAGAGTGGTTCCGGACACTGACTTGGCCTGGAGCTTATAATGTTTACCTACGTTTATAAATGGGTTGGGGAAAATTGGTGTGTTCAATTACAAAATAACTAACGACATGATTTTGCTACATGCAATTCCATATTTTTGGGTGTCCAAATGCTATCACAGGAATAGCATTTTTTTTTAACCGAGTTGGGGAAAGCCATTTCTTGTAGCTCCACGAACTAGACTGTTCTACAGCACACATCCCATTTCTGGCTACAACACGCAGCCAATGACGCAATGAGTCAGCGGCCAACAGTCTCGCCTTACTTCATAGACGTTTTCGTCGCCCCATGATCACGACCCAAGCCTTCAAACTGCCACACGAGTGACGGTAGTCGGTACGGTTCGCGCGGCTCGCAGGGCTCCCGGCGAGCTGTCGGGAGGCAAGCGCGATCCGCCTTCGCCTCGAGCACGGAGCGCCGCTGCCAGACTCGGTCGATTCCCGACACTGGAGGCAGTACGGACCCGACCGGGCTGTAGAAGCCGGCAGCTCGCTCCGCGTGCTCCGGGCAGCCAGCAGCAGTCAGACAGCGTCTCCGTACTCCTCAAGCGGCCTCCGACCTCCTCCGACGAGGAAGGTCGTAGGCCGTCGGAAACTGAACTCCTCCGTCGAAGGGGTTCAGCTTCCTCGCGCCGTCCTTCGGCTCCCGTTGGGCGCCGCGCATGGTGGCTGACCGCTGCCCCGGCGCTGCGCCGCAACCCGGCGAGGGCCGACCAGCGCGTGCGACCTGCCCGTGGCGCCGCAGCACCGCTCGCTGGCTGCACCGTCACTGGCCGGCCAGGCCGTCACTACTCGCCGCTACCGCCGCCCGCTTCCCGGACAGCTGCCTCGCGAAATGGGTCCAGCCCAGCGCCAGCTACTGCTTCTCAGGCGGTGCGAGGATGAGTGGGTGACGTACGGTCAGCGTATCAGGCCCTGGATCCGACTTCCGTGAAACGTAAGCTGGGGGGGGGGGGGGGGGGGCTTTACTGCCGCTACAAACATTCACTGGCCGGTGTTGGATAACGCTGATGGCTGGCCGCCCGGCGCACACGCCTGCTGCTGGATGACGCCGTCTGCTGCTGGATGACACGCGGTCTGCTGGATGATTCCACCCACTGTTAAACGACGCCGCCTCCTGCTAGACGCCGCCGTCTGCTGCTGGATGGCGCCGCCTGCTGCTGGAAGAAGATGCACAGTCTGCTGGATGACTTCACCCGCTGCTAGACGTCGCCGCCTGCTGCTAGATGACACTGCCCGCTGCTGGATGACGTCGCCTGCTGGATAATACCGCCTGCTGCTGGATGACGCCGCCTGCTGCTGGATGACGCCGCCTGCTGCTGGATGACACTGCTTGCTGCTGGATGACGTCGCCTACTGGATAATACCGCCGCCTGCTGGATGACGCCGCCTGCTGCTGGATGACACTGCCTGCTGCTGGATGACGCGGCGGTCTGCTGGCGCACACGCCTGTCGCTGGATGACGCGCCGGTCTGCTGACGTGCCGTCTATTTCGGGGCCCGGGTCGCCCGTGTTGCGCCGCCGGCCGAGCTGCGTCCGTCAGTGGCTCTGCGGACCTGCGGAAGGAGGCCGCGCCCTGGACGGCCCGGTTAGCCTGTGGACCCCGGCACCATGTGAGTAAACGGCAGGGGACCGTGAGCGCAGCTGAGCTCGGACCAAACGACTCCACAGGCCACTGGCGATATGCTTTTGCGCAGGTTATTGTGATTAACCATTCCTTGCCGTTTTTGTCGTCGAAGTGATGTCGATGTCACATGTATGCGACACCGCGTTGTTCATGGCTACAGGCAAGCAACTTACGAGTCGGCGCCTCTTTTGCATGTAAAAGAGAGGCGGAAGTTCTTAACGGTTACAACCTCGTTACCGCTAGTAATAGCGCAGGGCATTTCTGGAATTTATTCCGGAATGTATGCCAGCGTACCGGCTATTTGGCCAGTAGTGCGGCTTCAGAGGAGGCCGGCACGTAGCATGAATACAGATTTTGGTGTGTCTTCAAATAAAACTGGTGCTTCTGGTCAAGGCAATAGAAATAATAAGTTTGACTTCCATAAATACACTTCAGTCACACGTTTATGATGTCGTTAAACTGGCTTATTTACAACGGTAAAAACAAAAACAACCCAGGTAGAGATAAACTGCTCCAATGAGACGGTTTGCAGCTAAATCAGGTGTTGTTTCAGATGCTCTCCGAATATGACTCATAACTGGAGCCGTTCCCATCCGTATCTAACCGCTGAAAACAGCAGCATCGCAGTCCCCGCTCGGACTGTGGTGGGCAACATCGAGACACAATTGGGCAATGTGTCCCGGACCCACGCACTCCCTACTCACACCTGTATTACGGCTCACCGGCGAATGCTATGGTCGTGGGGAGTGGAGGAGTCGTGTGAGCCGCGGACCATACATTCCGCAGAATTGTAGCATCGCTGCCTACGACGATTTCTGAACAACTTGACTTCAAAACCGGTGTTGGTGCGCTCTCTTTGAGACGTTCCGTTCGCCCGATCAAGTGCTTGCGGCTTCCCTACGGCGGAGCTTCAGCACACTCGGAGACGCCACAGCTCGCTGGGAGACCGGACCGCCGGCTGGCTATCCGGGGGCGGGGGCGGAGCGTTCAGAACAGGGTCTGAACGCGCACGCCCTGGGCAGCCAGAGATCAGCGCCGCACTGACCCTTGTATTGGCGAACATTCTTCGGGGAGCTCCGGTTCGGTCGTTGCTCTTGGCGTGACCGGGTTGACGTCGATGGAGAATACAGGATGGCCGGTGTGGGGCGGCCGCACCAACTTTCGTCAAACTGACGCTGGTTTTGTCACGTTGACACTGAAAGATGCTATTTTGGTTGCTTATACTGCACTAACCATCCTTCACGTCCTCAATTCTCACGTATCGTTCAAATCGAAATGAATTTTTACGTTAATCATTTTCGCCCAGCTCTGTTTGTTCCAATAACATTTTCCGATTGTAGATCATATGAAATATAAGCTCTTCACTTTCATGAGCTTCCTATAAGCCATCGCAAGTGCCACTGAATGTCAAGAGCTGGCTGCGGCACGATCCCATTGCCAGAAGAGTCGGGCGGTTTGAAAGCCAGCCTGCCGGCCTCGGACGCAAATTGCCGCTTGGATTACGCGTCGGGCTGCGACGATTACCACGTCATTTAGCCTCCGTAGTCTGAGTCACCCGCATTCCTTCTCCCGAGACGTCCAGAGCCCGACGTTGTCTGCTTTCAGCACGAAGCCAGTGACGCGCCTGTGGCTGTCAACTCTGCTGGCACTATCTCATAATGATAGAGTGCTTTCATTTGTAAAGCAGCCCTGACCGTTATGACGGCTGGGCTGTGGATGGGCGTTCACGTTACCAAATTTCTCCTGGTACCTGACTCGAGGATGCAAAAACCTTCGCAACGCTCGGCTCAGGCAAATCCCCAAGTAACCTGACGGAGCCTCGCTGGCACCAGCAGGCGTTTTGTTGCTCCAACTGTGAACTATTTCACACACACGAGAGCTGACAGCGCCAGAGGTGTTCCACTCGCCCGAGCGGGTTAGCGCGGGGCTAAACTCAGTGGGTGACGCACGGTCCACATCGGGGGCGGCCGGGTCCGCGGTATCGGGCGCGCGGGCTCGCCGCCGCCGAAAATAGCGGCCCCGCTGGACCGGGCCGGCTGCCAGCTGACGTGCCTGGTCTCTTGCTCACGGCTGCGGCCGGGCCGGCCACTCCACGACCCCGGCCACCCCCGCCCTTCCCTCGCTCGCTGGCATGGTGAGGTCGCCCGGGCCGGTCTGTCACGCAGCTGCGCGGGCGGACTCTGTCCCGTCATGTGACGCGGCAATGACGTCTGACGGTCGACGCAGGAGCCGCGAGAGCCGGCTCGTCCCCGGGCGTGCGGACGCTTTATGCAACGGAGATCCGTTTTCTGAGCTTCTGTCGCGCCGCGTGCGTCGGACTTACTCCAGGCTGTGTGAGGCTACAGACTGCTGGCTTCGACCGATCAGAGGCGTACATGCCTGTAATAGGGGGAGTCGTGAGCCATTACGAACGCTCCAAAACTGCATCGCCCGTGACAAGATTTCGTGCGCACGCCTGCCAATATCGACGGGAGACATCCGGCTGAGCTTTCATTTAATTTGCATGGACAATTCTATCAGGGGAAGCTTTCATGTGATGTATGGTAGTCATGATCAAATGACTGCACGTGCCTGACGTGCCACGTCCAATTGATCCGGAGACCACACTCATTGTTCCACATTCACATTATCCACACAGATGGGATCACATTCATGATGCCAATGGTGCTATAGCGTGACGATGCGAAACATCCCACCCCATTTTCAAAAATTGTGGTCTCTGTTTTTGTCTGCCTTTTTACCTGTGCATCCTGCGACTCTTTCTTTCCATTCTGCCCAGGTAAACTTAAGCTTCAATGTACAGATAAGCGGATAAGCTATGAGCTCTAACAAATCAGATAAGCTTTAAATAAAGTATTTTTTGGCCAGAGTATATCATCATTATCTGTCGGGCTTGGGTGTGGAGTCCAGCCTCTCTCTAATTAAGCTTAAAGTTGATTGTTTTCGAATGTTCTGTTGATGCATCAGCGCAGCAGGGCTCTTCAATTTCGCGTGCGATTTACGAGTGACCCTTTCCCTTGTTTCAGGAGAGAATGACGCGACGGTGAAGATACCTCCCCTCCGTCACTGGAGGGGGTCGATTAGCTCAAAGGAGAAACAGATCAGGTGAGATTCATTAGTATAATGTAGTTTGTTTTCTTATCATTTACGCTCGCAGGCTTGAGTAGGTTGATCAACGTTTGGTTAAACGCTTGCGTACAGATTCATGTTGCTGTTAAAGGACAGTACAGTGTTATGGACACTGTCGCGATGTCACGAAGATCGCCAAGCCATGCCAAACCATTATCATATTTTGAGACTACATTTGAAACATTGAATGAAAAGACTGCTCGTTGTGACGATGAAAGCTCGGTTACGCGACGATACGAACGCACGATTGCTCCACATTCAGTTCAGACTCAGCTATGCGACAGCACCCATAAGCGCCGGCATATGACATCCGCAGCTCAGTTGTCGACTCCAGCGCAGAATTTGATTTTACAAACCCAGATGAACTGCAACGCGACTGGTTCATGTTCACAAGATAATTGGTCGCTATCTTACTTCTCTGGCGACATTAACTAACGGCAGCAGCAGGCGACTGTAGAATACAACCACCTGTGACCGCTTCAGTCCCCTGTCTGAGATGCTTCCATAACTGAAAAGAAGCTCGCACGCGCCCGAAACGGCAACAAGACCGTGGGATTACCTCAACCTAATGCTACCATTGGTAACGTGATCTTCTCAGAGAACCAAAGTCAATGGCAGCATCAGAACAAAGCTTGGTGATTGCTTTGTACGCTTTTCATGCCTGAGTTGTGGACATGGATTTTTAATGATAAACTGACTAAACGTTCAATTTGGGAATTCTGGTTTCCCAGTGTGGTGATTACCCTTAATCGACTGTTCTTGAACTTCTGAACAGTTGATGCGTATTACCTGAAAAATGTTTTAAACATCTAGTTCATGTCCGCTGCACCACGTTTGACGTTTGTATACGTCGAAGCATGCCTTCCACAGACGTCGGGGCTATTTGTAACTGTTTATTTATGTTCTGGTGGGGAATATATCCGATTGGCATCACAAAGCTCGATGCCAACCAATGCTTCAGTTCTCGTTTTTTGGAAAACTTTGGCTCAACTTGTGATGTTTGTTTACTAAGGCCGTAAACTTTGTATGCCTTTCTGGACGCGCGGGAATGCTGGCCGCTCTGTTATAACTAAAATCCTCGCCTGTTGTATGTCAGCAGTCCTGTCATTTGCAAGCGAGCCGATGCACATTGATCTCGAAATCACAATGAGTTTACCCCCACACCGAAGTATATATATATATATATATATATATATATATATATATATATATATATATTGTGTGTGTGTGTGGTGTGTGTGTGTGTGTGTGTGTGTGTGTGTGTGTGTCCGAAGTGTGTATATATGCACATATATATATATATATATATATATATATATATATATATATATATATATATATATACACATATTATGTAAGCTCATAGCCCAAAAAACGGAACTGTTAGTTGTTTTCTTTATTCAGCCGGGCCACCAAACTTGATATTACCCCACTCGTTACTGCTCACGAGTAATACCTACCAACATGCACCCTGCAGATTCTGAAACTGCTTTTCTGAAGCAAAGCTGAACAACCCGATGAGGTTCATGCTGGCACCACCCTACAACAAGTCATACCTTTGAACACATTCAACACCCACTTTTCACCCACCTCAAATTACTAAATCGTACCAAAAGTGTACCGAGCCGACTACAGTCTTGACACCTCGCCCATCAACATAACTCATCGTTAACAGGCCGGGACCACGCGGCTGACTGAGCAGAAAGGCAGTCTGCGGCCGCTTCTCCGGCTGGTGCCAAGGCATCGAAGATCGACGCGTGCCAAATCTTGATGCGGACCGAGCGCCGCCGCTTATTTCGGCCCGTGCTTCACGGCTTTTTCATCGCGGCTCTATTCATCATAGTGAGGGCGCGACCTGTGCAGCATTTACGTCAGCTCCAGGGCTTAGCTGGGTGACGTCTCGGCTAGGATTGGCAGCTTTGCCAAATCTTTGCGCGCCGTGAGGCTGCCCAGGAGACTCTCCCAGATACATGATCTGAAAATATTTGGAGATACTATACCTAATCAAGACCCACGGCCCTTGGGGAGAGCTGCACGCCCTGTGTTTATTTGCTTATCGATGACGATAACAAAGTGCACTGCTTATGGCGCTTGTGTGAAGGTCAGGTCAGAACATGCTCGCCAAATTGACCGATCCGTCACGCCATTAAAAGTTGGCGGATGATAAGACTGCGTGTGGCACTTGACACATCGTTGGCATTTATCTTCTTTCTCATTACGTTCCCAGGCAGATGTTTAGTTTTCAGGCGACCTGTGCGCCTTATCAGAGGTTGGTGAGGTGCCTTTCTTGCCATGCAATGCATCAGGCGGCCGCCATCCATGGTCTTCTCGGAAACATGGCAAACGCCAGCGGATGGTGGTGACGGACGACCCTGGTGATCCAGTCAGAAGTGGCATGCTGGTCGCCAATCGCGTGTGGGGTAATGTGCGCTTGAGTAACGGCGTGCTTGACACGCGCCCGAGCGGCCGGCTGAATACCCTTAGCTCAGGTGGAGGTCAATTCGGCCCGCTGAGATTGCAGAAACTAAGAAAGCTATAAACACCAAATTAACAGGGTGCTGTTTTGTGTCTCTATGTGAGCTTATCTTCACCAAAAGTTAGGTCCCTTGGTCATGACCTTCAGGTCAAATGTAAAAAAATGTCAAACTCCAGACTGGTGTCCAAAGTGTCGCCAGGACCTAGATTCCCTGTCTTAAGCAATAGGTTATTGGTGCTCATTTAAGGTCAGTAGCATTACTTGACCGTTCGCAGGTCATAGTATATAACAATCGAGCAGGACTGCTTTGAGTTCTGCATTTAAATAAGCCTTCAAAGTTACGCCAGGCAGCATGTTCCCAAAAACAAGATGTTGAACTAGGTCATTTTAAGTCATTGGCCTATTCTAACATTTTGAAAGTCCAAAGAAGATGTCCAATGTGATTCCTGTTCTCAACAGATTGAAAATGGACATTAGAAACTGCCTCATACAGTTAACTTTACAGCAATAAAGTGCGTTGGTTTTGACCTTGGCCTGAGCTTCATACCTGGCCCTAGGCTGATGAAATTGGCTCATTAAATTGTTGTGCGTCCTTAGAAACTATCTTAGGGGCGTATGACTCGTCTAATAATTCTTGCATCAGACTGAGCGATTCCCTAGAAATCGTTCCATCTGAAACCATGGCCTGATTTTGACCCGCCGTAATTCAGCGACCTTGCAAGGTACATCTAAGTTTGTGTACCAAACAATGGCGTACAGCTTTGCAAAATTTGGCGTGGTTACGCCGCGCCGTCCGGAAACTATTTTGGAAAAACCTTCGGGAGGATTCAAATTGACCCCTCAACAGAGCGCATGTTAAACGAGGTCAGCACCTTGTGGTCCAGGCCAGATCAACTGGGACCTGTGTCGCATGGCGGACAAAGAACTTGGTCGGAAGCTTGATGGTGGGAATCGGCTCTCTCACCCCTCAAGGGATTCCGGTGGGGTTAGGCGAGACTGACGGCAGACATCTTGGTCGAGCTTTGATTTAGATGGTCGGCGTCGACGCTCCCGTGGTGTCATTTCGCTGGCATTGGATTCGTGTCGGTTTCTGCCGGAAATTTGGTTAAAAAGGCCCATTAGCGAGTGTTGAATATAATCCAATCACGTGATGGCGTCGATAAACCCTCCCTCCACCCTCCCCGCCGCGCTGGACGGGCCTGACACTCCAATCGCCCTACTCCAGCTCAGTCTGTCCCTGGATGCAGTCGTCAGACGTCACCGCGTATCCGACGTGGCTGTCAGACTGCATGCCACTTACGACGCACGTGACATGTCAGGCTGCATGCTGGCCGTTGCGTGTCAGTCTGGATCGGACTGCAGCCTTGGTATGTCACCGCACGCCAGACGCGAGGCGACCACGGCACAGAGTCGGGTGGGGGTGTGCACCGGTCAGACCACCGCGGTTAGCACCGGTCACACGTCAGAGGGCCGTGCCATGGCGTCAGGTCAAAACTCACCCATCGCGGTCAGAGCCGGTCACACGTCAGAGGGCCGTGCCATGGCGTCAGGTCAAAACCCACCCACCGCGGTCAGCACCGGTCACACGTCAGAGGGCCGTGCCATGGCGTCAGGTCAAAACTCACCCACCGCGGTCAGCACCGGTCACACGTCAGAGGGCCGTGCCATGGCGTCAGGTCAAAACCCACCCACCGCGGTCAGCACCGGTCACACTTCAGAGGGCCGTGCCATGGCGTCAGGTCAAAACTCACCCACCGCGGTCAGCACCGGTCACACGTCAGAGGGCCGTGCCATGGCGTCAGGTCAAAACCCACCCACCGCGGTCAGCACCGGTCACACGTCAGAGGGCCGTGCCATGGCGTCAGGTCAAAACTCACCCACCGCGGTCAGCACCGGTCACACGTCAGAGGGCCGTACCATGGCGTCAGGTCAAAACTCACCCATCGCGGTCAGCACCGGTCACACGTCAGAGGGCCGTACCATGGCGTCAGGTCAAAACTCACCCACCGCGGTCAGAGCCGGTCACACGTCAGAGGGCCGTGCCACGGCGTCAGGTCAAAACTCACCCACCGCGGTCGGCACCGGTCACACGTCAGAGGGCCGTACCATGACGTCAGGTCAAAACTCACCCACCGCGGTCAGAACCGGTCACACGTCAGAGGGCCGTGCTATGACGTCAGGTCAAAACTCACCCACCGCGGTCAGAACCGGTCACACGCCAGGGAGCCGTGCCACGGCGTCAGGTCAAAACTCACCCACCGCGGTCAGAACCGGTCACACGCCAGGGAGCCGTGCCACGGCGTCAGGTCAAAACTCACCCACCGCGGTCAGAACCGGTCACACGCCAGGGAGCCGTGCCACGGCGTCAGGTCAAAACTCACCCACCGGGTCAGGTCAGGTCAGACCACAGCTATCGGACCCCATCACAAGTCAGACTGACGGCTGTCTGCTCTCGGGTCGGGTCAGACGAGGTCAGACCCGCGACTGGACTCCGGCTGGGGTCGGACGGGCGGCAGCCGGCCCGTCTGCGTTGGCACGCGCCCACCGCAGGGTATGTAGGTCGGCGTCTCGTCCGAGCCGCCAGCCAACTCGCCGCGCCGGGGTGTTTCCGCCCGCGCAACAGCCGAGCGGAACGGCGCATCGTCTTCCGCGATCGGAGCGAGCCACCGAGCCGGTGATCAGAGAGAGCCACCGAGCCGGCGCTATCGGAGCAGGTGGCAGATCAGAGGAGGCAGACCGCGGAGTTCGGGGGTGTAGTGCGTCCGCGGCTGGCTGGGGACGCAAAATGGAACGCCCAAGTGGCGTTCTGCCATGACCGAGCCGGTGAGTGATGGGTGAAGAGTCCCGGTGATCGGTCAGACCCTCTGTTGCTCTGGAGTGTATGATGATGTTGGAAAACAGCTGAAATGTGAATGATCGCATTTGATAGGGCAGCACGCGGTTACCGGTGTTGCTACGTTTTCCCAGAGATTGTAAGCCAGAGGGGTTGCAATGTCCGCAAATCAAGTAGTGATTGAGCTTTGGCGCACGTTAAGCGGGTCTTTGAAAGCAGGAGAGATGTGCACATCCAGTGAGGCGCAGAAAATATCTATCTCTTCTAAATTGGGGCAGTATGACTCGCGACGAAAACTTGCGCACAGTGCAGGGTTGAGAATACGGCATGACAACTGCGGCAGCAGCCACACCAGCCTTGCTTTAAAAATCGAGACAATTTTAACTCTCCTCTGTTAAAAGAGATGTCCAATGAGACAGGTGGCATCTTTGCCAGAGCCAGGTTTTGTGGCTATCCTTCATCACTTAGCCTGACTTTTCCGCGCCTGGGTCTCTCCAATGGAGCAGGGTAGCCAGGATTTTGCGCTAGAATGAGCCAAGCGGGTCACGAGGGGCTGCTCCAGTGAATGGAGTCTCTCTTTGTCACTTAGGTGCCTGGCGTTTGGATTCAGAATATTTTCATGCTGGGGATTTCATTTGGATGCTTTGGGGCCCGTTTACATGTTTGAGGTGTCTTAAACAGCTAAAAAGTGCGGGGGTTCCGCCAACGGTAGGGGCGGAGGTCACGCCTCCAAACTGCTGCCTTCATTTTTCTGCTACGTCACTGCTTCAACACACTCTCTGACAGAGAGCACTGTGATGCTCCTATGCTGGTGAATGGCGAACATTTGCCACACTAATTGCACCGGCCTGCCAGCCCCGTGCCGCCCGCCACGTCACCGCCCTGACCGCGGCCAAGCGCGGTCCTTTGTCGTTCCGGCCGGACACGCTGCCAGGCCCGTGCCGTCGCGTCACCGCCGCCGGCGTCACCTGGCGGGGGTGGGACGCCCGTGACTCGGCCGGCCGTCAGCTGACGAACAGCCGGCCGTCACCGCCTCTGACAGCAGTGACGGGCTGGGGGCACCGTCGCACGGGCGGCTCGCCTCGCCGGCCGCAGGCGTCGTTTGTCACGCGGCGCTCGGCCGTCAGGGATGTCGGATCCGAGTGCCGACAGCTCCGGCAGCGCTGCGGGTCGCGGCGCCGACCTGCGGAGTTGCCGGGGCGATGGGCGGGAGCGGCACCAGATACCGCTGTCCGCTGCGACCGGACGCCAAGCAAGGTCTTTTGATGGACTGGGGAGAACGGCGCATCGATGATGCAGCATCCTAGAGCGCTGTTGCGCTTGGATTTCGGCGCTCAAAACAAATTGATAAAGGGTGTGCGGTGAAATAATTCGCGAGCATTTCGTGCAACAAAGTATAACTCCTCAGACTCAAGCGAGTTACCATTTCCACATTCCGCTGGTCGTCTCTCGCGTGGCAAATTCACGGTGTCTGGGTCACGAGACGCCCTGGTGCGGTACAGTGTCGGAGCCAGCAAGGCGCGGCGGCGCGGTGGGCGGCGCGACCGGTTAATTTTAGGTCGGCGGCGCGGTAAACGGCCGGCATCCGCTGTGCCTGGACTCCAGCCACGGCGCCCGACCGCGCCGCCGCCCGCCGACGAACGCTCCTCGCGCCTGCCCCTCCTCAGGTGAGCCCACCGGCGCCCGCCTCCCCCGGGACGCGCCACGGTCATCTTGTGTCGTCCGGGGAGCGCATGGCCGACCGGCGCGCGACGCCCGCACCCGCGCCGTCAGTCGCCGCGGCTCGTCCTCCCGGGTGAAATGCGTTCGTTTTCTCCTCGACGACGTCAAGCGTGACGAGGACGATCACGTCTGTTTTTCCTACCGGCCGTTTGTTGTTTCGGTGCTGTTGACAGGCGGCTCAGGCAGCGCGCGGCGAGGTCACACCTGGCCGGCGCGTCTGTCACCCGCGTCGGCGCGCTTTTTAGACCGCACGGCGCGCCAAGTCGCCAACGCGCCGCCGCCCGCTCCATCTCTGCCGCGAGCGGACTGGGTCGCCGCGGCGGCTGGCCCGTCTGGAAGTGACGCGAAGCCCCCGCCGGCGCCGCGTCGAACGTTCAGAAATAGACCTTGAACTGGAGCAGGCCGTGGTGTCAGGTCACGGCGCCTCCGGGCGCGTGACGTCACGCGATGACGCAGCGCCCACAAGCTGGCGCCGATCTCGACGTCGTTGAACCGTCTCGAAGGCCCCGATGAATCAGGCCGGGGCCCTGTTCACTGGGATCCCCTGATGAGTACGCGAAACTCGCTCGCGTCTGCGGTAGTGCAGAGAACGGCCGCAGGTGCCAGAGGAACCTCAGTGGTCCTCTCGGCCCGTCGGCGGACGGCTGGGGAGCCGCGAGTGCTGCCCTGCCTCGGTGGAGAACGTGGGCTGACCAGCAGTCCGTTCGCGGAGAGCTGGCCTGTGTGGTGTCGTGCGTCCAGAGCGATCTACTGAGCCACTGTTGGGAGGTGGGCAGAGGTGAGCCCGCCGTTAAAACGGAACAGTGCCGGTGTGCTGTGGCGTGGCCTCAGCCGAAAAAGGCCAACCTTATTAAAATGCCGTCTGGCGTCAAACCTATTGGACTGCTCAGTTCGGGTGTATAGTGTGCGAGGTGCGGTTAGAGGTCCTCGATCCCTGCGGTCCCCGGTCCCTGCCGTCCCCTACCGTCAGGGACCGTGGATGAGGCCTCGGATGTCTGGATCAGCTGCACTCTGTTGCAGGCCAGGGCTCTCGTTAGAGGTCCCCGATCCCTGCGGTCCCCCACCCTCACGGACCGTGGATGAGGCCTCGGATGTCTAGATCAGCTGCACTCTGTTCCAGGCTAGGAGAGCCTAACAGGCAACGATGGAGTCGTTCGACTCTCTGCTGACATGCTGCATTTGCTTGGACCGCTACCGCAACCCCAAGCTGCTGCCATGTCAGCACTCATTCTGCATGGAGCCCTGTATGGAGGGCCTGATCGACTACGTCAAACGACAGGTGAGTTCCTGCATAGCTTCGGCGTCTCTTGCTCAGCTGGCTTGTAACGTCAGAAACACAGCAATTCAAATTGCATGTGCATTTTGAGTGCTGTGTCGGATGTCAAGAGGGAAGTTGGACGTAACCGCATACATATTTTTAAAATAATGATAATTCCTGTTCGTGCGGATCAAAGGTCTTTACTTTCCGCCTCGACCTTTGATACGTCGATTGCTCCATATTTAAGAGTAACCAGAACCCGCAGTTTCCTGCCTAGGAAGGACGAATTCCGCGAAGTGCACGTGATCTGATTTCCGAGCCAGCCGTCGGCCGCCCGCTGCCAAACGCGACGCTCTGTGCCGGCACAAAGAGGTCACGTCTCTCTAGCTGGCGGCCTTGCCAAACTCGCGCCTCCCGTCGTCTGTTCGCCTCCACCCCTCCCCTCGTGGCAGGACCGGACAGCGCCGCTGTCAAGGCGCACGAAAACAGTTCGCTCTTTCCTCCGCTTTGGTTGGCTGCATGCGTGGATAGAGATACGGGGTGCGAAGCTGTAGCTCTTGATTGGAAGTCTAAGTTCACTCTTTTGGGCGCGTGATTTCGAGAAATGCAACGCTATGGAAGCATAGCGCGTAAGTCATGTGTCATGTCATTTGCAGTAAAATGCCGCGACATGATCTTTCTTTCGAAGAAGATGCCTCAGTTCATATGCTACCAGTCATATACAACTTTGTATTTGGTTTGCGCTTGTCGTTGAGACTTCGAGCAAACCCAACTTTGGTATAATTAATCTGATTGTAATTTAGCCTTTCCTTCGCAACCGCTGTTTCGAACGATTTCATTGTGATATCCGCGAATGGCTCCTAAGTGCATGCCGTAATGTCAGCGATTGTGCGAACGGAAATGTTCCGAGCTCCGTTGTCGAAAATGATATTGGGTCAGATCGAACTTTGTCAAATCGGCTCTTTGACCAAATGTAAGCTGACTATAAGTGAAGCACAGTTTACCTTACTTCTGACAATGTAAATGACAGTGCAGCCACCTGCTCCGTTTTCCGACTTAACCATGACTCCATCTCAGGTGAAATGTCCCGAGTGCCGCGCGGAACACCGGATCCCGTACAAGGGCATCCAGGAGTTCCCCAGCAACGTGACGATGCAGCGCTTCCTGGACATGTACCAGACCATCTCGGGCGAGATGCCCGACCCCACCCAGGGCCAGGTCATGGAGCGATGCCAGGTGAGCGTCGGCCCGCAGCAGCTGACGCCGCGCTCGCGTGGAGGGCGGGCTTTTTGAGATCACCTTGCGTGAATGTCTGCCAGGTGGCTTGCTGTCAGGCAAGAACGTTGCCGAGCGTCTTTCGAAAATTTTGAGCTGCTATGCATCGTGACGGCATTTAGGCTAGAGAAATTTGTGTACTGATCCATTGTTTTGTCGTTGGAAAGAAACCTCCCTTTGTGATTGTGTCTTAAGCTCTACTTCTGCGTAGTCGGCAGACATAGGTCCTCGCAGCTATTGCATACGCAAGCCTCGCATCAGAGCGTTGTTCAATGTAGCTTTTTGCCGCACAGGTGTGCAACGAGAAGGAGTACCTGCAGCCGTGCGCACACTGTGACAAGAAGGTGTGCCCCGACTGCAAGTCCGCGCACGTGGACGTGCTGAAGCGCGAGCTGGTGCGGATCAACAACCAGGTGAGGCGCGGCCTGCACCGGCTCCAGGACATCCACCAGGCGGTGGACAAGAACGCCAACACGGTGCAGCAGAACTGCGTGGCCGTGCGTGATGAGGTGGAGAACATCGGGCAGCGCCTCATCAAGGCCATCAAGGACCGCACCGAGTACCTCAAGGCCGAGGTCGACTCGCACATGTCCAACGAGGTGCGCAATCTGAACACGCTCAAGAGTAACCTCGAGCAGGAGATCGCCAACATCGAGAGCAACTCGGACCTGGCCGAGAAGCACCTGAACGACAATACAGAGTGGGACGACTGCGAGCTGAGTGACGCCAAGGACATCTTCCTAAAGACGGTCGAGTTCATCCGCAACTTCGAGCACGAGACGCCGACGGGCGGCGACTTCCGGCGTCCGGTGCGCTTCTCAGCTGTGCAGGACCCCAACTCGCTCAGCAAGACGCTGGAGCACTTCGGCGAGCTCAACATCGGCAAGAAGGAGCTGCCGGAGCCGGCGGCGGGCCAGGGCTTCGGCGGCGGCTTTCCGGCGCTGATGCCGCCCGGCGCCTCGGGGCCGGGCCTCATGCGCAGCAAGTCCGACCACCGGCTCGTCTCGCAGCTGCGCCAGCAGGAGGAACGCGGCTACGGCGGCTACGGCGACGAGTCCGGTCGCTCGTCGCCGGTCAGCCGGCGGCGCTTCGGCGAGCGGCCGGAGCGCAAGGCCAGCGACGGCGGGCTGTACGGCGAGGACAGCGCATACGACTCGCCCTGCGAGCGACGCCACAAGTACCGCTCCCGCTTCACGCGGCGCAACCTGGATCCAGACGACGACATGGAGAGCTACCGGCCCGAGCCGCACGCGCCTCACGCCGCTGAAGCACCCAAGGAGAAGAAGAAAGAGCGCGAGAAGGTCCTGGACACGGACGACGCCACCAAGGGTCCGCTCAGTGGTATCGCGCGCATCCTAGATGTGCCGCGCGTCATCCAGAAGATGGTGGAGAAGGAGAAGGGGCCGAAGAAGAAGAAGGAGGAGCCGAAGTCGGCGGCGCCGGCGCCTGCGAAGCCTGCCCCCACACCAGCACCCGCGCCCTGGCGGCGGCAGAAGAGCGAGGACGACGAGATCTCCAAGATCAAGAAGATGAACCAGGAGGCGGACGCCCGTTGCGCGTCAGGCGCCACCCCGGCCGCCGCCGCCGCCGAGCCTCCGGCCGCCGCGCCGCGCGCCACCAGCGCGTCACGCGGCTCCGTCGAGAGGCGCTCTTCGCAACCAGCGGCTCCGGCTCCGGCGCCGGCTCCTGCGGCGGCGCCGCGGCCACGTCTCTCGCGCGAGGAGTCGGGCAGCGAGACGGATGACTCGTCGCGGCGCCGCGCCGCCCGCGTCAGTCGACCGGCCTCCGACACGCCAATCTCCGAGTGGGTGAACGAGCCTTTCGAGACGCCCAGCTCGGTGGCGGCGCGACGGAAGGCGGCTGCCGAGTCGGCACCCCCTGCGCCCGCTGCGCCCGCTGCGCCCGCCGCGCCCGCCGTGCCTGCCACCCCCGCCGCCCCCGCCGCCCCAGCAGCGCCCACCCCGGCCGCGCCCTCAGAGCGGCCGCGGCGCACGCCGCTGCGTATGCCCGAGCGGCGTCTGTCGCGCTCCCACAGCTCCGAGTCGACGTCATCCGAGTCGTCGGACGTGCAGTCGCCGGCAGGCGTCGCAGACAAGCGTAAGGCAAAGCGCGGCTCGCAGCCGCCGACGCCGGCTTCTCCCGGCGCGCCGGCCACGCCACCGGCGCCCAAGACGCCGCCCGTGGCCGCCACGCCGCCGGCGCCTGGCACGCCCGTTGATTCCGAGTGGCTGGGCGCAGCGACGCCGACAGCCAGCCGGACGGCGGCAGCCAGCGGGCCGTCGTCGGCTGCCAGCACGCCCACTCCAGGCACGCCGAGCTCTGTCGGCACGCCCACTCCCGGGACGCCAGGCTCTGTCGGCACGCCCGCTCCCGGGACGCCGGGCTCTGTCGGCACGCCCACTCGTCCGCGCTTTCAGAGCCGCTTCCTGGGTCGCGCCGGTACACCCAAGGCGGAGGAGGCCAAGGAGTCGGAGAGCAGTGACGAGTCCGAATCCGAGTCGGAGACAGAGTCGTCCTCGGAGTCCGAGTCGGAGGAGGAGGAGGCGCCAGCGCCGCCGCTGCGACCGGCCGCCGCACCCATGACCAAGACCAGCATTGGCCCGCTGCTGGCGCGCAGCGCGCACGCGCGGAGCGGCTCCGGCGACGCGACGACCACGCCCACGGCCAGCGTGGCGTCGCGGCCGAGCCGGCCGTCGACGTCGTCCGGGTACGCGGCGCGTCGCGAGTCTGGCGATTACACGCCGGCCGCGCCCGCCACCGACCGCTACGCCAGCCGCTACGGCGGCGACGCCGCGACCGAGCCCAAGCCGTACGAGTCGCGCTACGGCTCGCGCTACGGCGACTACGGCCAGGGCAATGGGCTGACGCGCTCGCGGACATCCTCGGCGCTCGATGGCCGCACCGCGCCTACCGAGGACTCGTACGCCGCGTACGCGGCCAAGTTCTCGCGGCCGGCGGCGAGCAGCCGGCCGACGTACGACGACTACTCGTCCACGTCCACGCCGCGCTACCCCTCCTACACGTCGCGGTTTTTAAACCGAAGTAAGAGCTCCGCTGCGCTAGACGCGCCGGAGGAGGCGGCTCGCCCGGCGGGCGAGGCCGCCGCCCCCGGCCCGGCCGCCACCGTCGCTGACGGCGGCCGACCTGACGGCACGTCCAGATATGCGCTCCCCGCCGAGCGCCGATCTTGGCTTGCCCGCAGCGGGAGCTCTGAACAGGCCGACGAGCGAGGGAGCAGCGGCGGTGGGTCCTCGCCCACCGCCTCGCTGCGCTCGTCGGTCCAGCGACAGGGGAGCGGCGACAGTGGCGCCGCCAGCGGAGAGCCGGCTAACCCCACGCCAGGCACCGGCGGCACGCGGTCGGAGGCGCTCAGCAGTTGGGCTCAGTATCTGAAGAGCAAGTACGGGTACAAGAATGGCAAGGAGACCAGCAAGGACGTGGGAAAGGTGAGCGTGCTGCGTGGCGGTGTAGTCCGCTCGGGCGGCGTAGGTGGTGGCTAGTCGATGTGTTTTCCTCTTTCCGTTTTGTGTTGTTTATTTTGCATTGTATTGTACTAGAATCATTCGTTGCTTTCATCTGTGTCGCAGTTGTCTGATGATATTCTGCTTTCTTTAGTTCCTGAGATGATGGCTATGGTCACACACTTCTTCCAGGATGAAAACTTGCGGGAAGACGCGCCGACCCAATGTGCTTTGACTTAGCTGTCTAACCCGACGTAGAGCATAAACGTTCGCTGGAATACGCAGGTGCATTTTGCGATACGCTTTGTCTAAAAAGAAGCCTTTAGTGCCTTCGTCCAGTCCCCAGCTCTGAGGATTACTGGCTGGGGATGTTCCCAATGCAACGCTTCAGCCATGTTTACTGGCTGCAACGCTTTCTTGCGTCTAAGCATAACCCACCGTTAAAATATTGGTGCATACATAAACGTCTCTCACTCCAACAATTTTTCCACACGGCCAAAGCAAGCTTAAATAAGGCTTTGAATCTCTCAGCCAACTGTGTAACGCGACTCACTGATTTAGTCTAACGCTAAGCACTGAAGCTAACCCCTGAGACTGTCGCCGACACTCCAGACAGCCCCACCGCCTGCCCGGGCGACCCCGTTTTGATTAGCTCGTCGTGTCGCGCGCCGCCGTGGCCGCCAGTTTTGCGTAGCTGGTGCGGTCGGCTCTACGCGGCCCGGCGCCCGTTTCTAAGATCTGATGGCCGGTGGTTGTTCGCCGCAGTGGCTGCGTCGTCGGCGCTCCCTCAGTCATCGCCGCCCGATTTCAGGACGATAAGCCCTGGTGGGTGCACCAATAACGCCGCTCCCGCCGCCCCGGCTCCGCCAATAACAGCATCCGTGCGCCACAAGACGCCAACCATAAACCATTGAGTCATTGCGTAAAGTCTAGCCGTCGTTAAAGTCAGAGTGCTCACGAGTCACGAGTCACGAGTCTGCACCAAGTGAGTGTGCGGAGCAGGAGCTTCTGTGTGGGCTTGCACGGCTTGGTGAGGCTCCGGGCCGCCCTGCCTTCTCCTTAGAGGCTGACAGCTAACGGCTTTTGGGTCGGTTCATGTGCGTTTTAACCGCTCACAGGTCGTTGTGACTTCTAAACCGCGCTCCCGTGTGGAGGCGGCGCTTCAGGAACACGATCGATCTATCGGCATGCCGTATTGGACTGGGGTGATGACCCGAAGTAAGGTGTCAAAGGGTCAGATCTGGAGTATGCCTGGTAAATAAACAATTGAATTTTCAAATAACACTGATTCGATGACAGTTCTGGCCACATTCTTGTAACGATTTTGTACGCTATTTTTATATTTGCTGTGAACTTTGATTGCAATATCTTTGCGTGGTTGAACAATTGCGTTATGATCCTTTCATTGCCGTTAAGTTTTATTCATTTTATCGTTGTATGTTTTACCAGCGTATATACCCGGCTTGTAGTTAATCACAGCTCTTCTGCACCAGTAGTCGACGATAAAGCTTTTCTTGGACGCTCTTCGTTAAAAACCTTCCCGCTTCACGCACCATAAATCCCCGCCCCCTCCCCGGGTGGTACGCTGCACCCCGCGCCTCCTGCTCAGACGACCACAGATCTTAGAAACCCGCGCCGGTGTGGGTTCACCTCCCGCTGTGCTGACGGCGGCGCGCGCTGATGCAGGTCCTGCCGCGTAGCAAGTCCTCGCACCTGCTGGGTCTGCCGGGGGAGGCGCTGCTGGACGCGGCCGTCCAGGCGGCGCCGCGGTCGTCCGCCCAGGTGGCGCCGTCGTCGCCGGCCCTCTCCAACACCGCCCTGCTCGGACCGCGCAGCCAGTACCTTCAGAAGGGTCGCCTCAGGTACGCAAGCATATGCTGCGAATGTCTGCCGATAATAAGGGACAGGGGCCTAGCTCCAATTACGGTTAGTGAGTTGCATTTTGTTCTTGATGTTCGCTGCTGTCGTGCTGGGTATGGGACTCGGAAACTTTGCAATTTCGCTTTTCATAAATCTAGCCGTACTGTCTTTTCTCACGTCTGTGTTAACATTGACCGCTACTCAGCGTGGCCTGAAAGGACAATCTCACACACCTTCAGGTGCGTAGCTGCCTGACATCTTTCATCTGTCCTGTTTGTCTCAATAGATGATGACTACCTCCTCCGCCTCCGCGCAGGTTCAAGATCGGGACGCGTGGCGGTGGCCCGGGCTGCTTCACTTGGCCGCGGGGCATCGCCGTCGGTCCCGACAACTCGATCGTCGTCGCCGACAGCAGCAACCACCGCGTGCAGGTGTTCGATCAGGCCGGCACCTTCGTCAAGGAGTTTGGCCAGTACGGCAACGGCGAGGCCGAGTTCGACTGTCTGGCCGGCGTGTCCGTCAACAGGATCGGACAGTTCATCATATCGGACAGGTGGGTCAGGCCAGGCTGGGACTGGTCAGAGCAGAACAGGACAGGACAGGGCAGGGCAGGGCAGGGCAGGGCAGGGCAGGGCAGGGCAGGGCAGGGCAGGGCAGGGCAGGGCAGGGCAGGGCAGGGCAGGGCAGGGGGGCAGGGCATGGCAGGGCAGGGCAGGGCAGGGCAGGGCAGGGCCAGGGCAGGGCAGGGAAGAGCTGGGCAGGCAGGGTGGGCCAGGGCGAGCCGGCCGGGCTGGGGCGGGGCAGGGCGCGACGTGGCGTGGAGGGACGGGACGGGACGGGACGGGACGGGACGGGACGGGACGGGATGGGACGGGACAGGACAGGACAGGACAGGACGGGAGACAGAAAGTGACCCGTCGGCCGTCGGAGAAACACACCAGGGTGGGTCAAGGCGGGAGAGCTTCGGTCGATCGACCAGTGGAATGTCAATGTATGTTGACTTGGCGTGGTGCAGGAGCGATCGTTTTATTTGGCTACGCATGAGCCGGTTTCTGCTTGGGAGGACATTCAGTGTCACTTATCCCTGCTTGTTTGGTTAAGAATATTGCCATTTCAAAAGATGCGCTCGCTGGAAAACAACGGCACATGTTTCATTCATCTGTTTCCTCGAATTCGTTCATTAAAAAAGATCGACGCATTGTGGTACTGCAATCTGCGGACATTCACTTCTTAAGCTCTACAATGCCCCCAGCATAACCACTCGACGGCTAACAAGCGCCTTCTCACAGATACAACCACCGGATCCAGATATTCGACCCGTCCGGGCGGTTCCTGCGCTCGTTCGGCCAGAACGGCGTGATGGAGGGCCGCTTCAACTACCCCTGGGGTGTCACCACAGACGCGCTCGGCTTCATCTACGTCTGCGACAAGGAGAACCACCGCGTCCAGGTGAGGGGACTGGGGTGGACCGCGCGGCGCGGCGCGGCGACAGTAGTCCAGCGGGCCAGCGAGTTTCAATGTTGGTGGTATGCCGACCTGGCGAAGGAGGTGTCAGCAGCGGCTTAGGTAGGATAGTAATTGTTGCATGTGAAAAAATGTGTGATCAGGTATGACTGGGAGTTGATGTTTAGAAGAAATTGTACGTGATTTCATCATCCCTAGTCACCCTGTTTCGTACATGTTCGTTTCTTCGCCACCGGCATGGCCACGATGGCGCACATCCAGCACGATCAGTCCCCTACCCAGTTGGATCCTGAAACCAACGTATTTGTAAGGTATTGCAGTACCCCGCTGATGCATTTTAAGTCGACTCACAATGCATTACCTCTGGTCCCCAACTCAGCGTCGTCCTGTAACCCTCACCCGTCCCGGGCCCCCTTGGGCATGACAGCCCCCCCCCCCCCCGTCCGTGTCACTTGAGCCCCCTCGCCTGCTCGGGTCCACCCAAGCCCCTGAGCTGGCCGATGAGTCCGGCCGGCGGTGACCCTCAGGTGAGCTATTGGAACCTGCCCGGCTCCGCCCCCGGGCCGGCGGCGAGCTTTACTGCTCTGTACGCCCAGTGCGGCGCGGGCGCGGCCGGCAGCCGGCGCCCCTCCGTCAGGTCCGGCTCACTCTGTCTGTGACGTCACTGTCGGCGTGCGCGTGTGTGTGTGTGACGTCACTGCGAGCTTGCCCTCTTACCGCTCGCGTGGCAGGCGGCGCGTTTGAACGCATGGTGAGGACGACGCTTCACACGAGCGAGCCCGTATCCCACCTTCAACTGTGGATTTAAAGGCGGAAATATCAGCCGTCGTCCCGTCTACGCCATCTGCCCATGTGGTTTATATATCGCACCTGGTCACCGCTTGGGGCAATACACTTGTTCTTAGCCTTTGTAGCCCTTTGCTATGTATGGGTTGTGTAGTGCCAGCCCCTTGTCGTAGTATAGCGCTCAACTTTATATTTGTAACCTATTTTCAACCCAGTATTGGTGAATAACGCAGCCTTTCCACGCGTTAGTTAATATCTAGTTTCGCCTTAAATCCTCGGACTATGCGTGTAAGGCTTCTTCCTTAACCACGGAGCGTGCTTTTTATCAGCGTTGTACTTTTCGATGCAGGACAACTTGGAAACCAGACATGTTTTTGCCCCTGTCCTCGACGGAAGGCTTGGAATTTCGGGAGGTTTAAAAAAACAACAAACAACAATAGAAAACAGAAATGGTATGGTCTCACCAACCTTTTGGAGAACATGTTTTCAGCGACAATTGGCATGTTTTTTTTAAGTTGTGCTGTAACACTTTCAAGACATGCACACAAGATGTTTGATCAGATGCAATCGGGCTACAACACCGGAACCTGCCTCACTTGACTTACATTTAAGAAACTTTACATTTGCCAGCGGCAAAGCGTCAGCGTATCAGTGTCTGAACTCGGCCCGAACTTCGTCAACTCGGGAACGCGGGACCGAGTAACAGCATGATTAGATTGAGAAAAGCAACGGGAATCGTAGATGCAAATTACGTGTCACTGCGTGAGCCACATACACTGAAGCGCCGCAGGCCATGACCGCCAACGCGATGTGTTCTTTTTTTAGAGTAACGTCATATACCGGTAATAGAGCGGACGAAGGCCTCAAAGCAGCAGCATGTAGGCAGTTGTATGCACCCCGTACTAGTTGCATCGTCTCTTGCATGCCTGTCGGCCCATGTCGTACCAGAGGACCGGGAAGAAAACATCTAGCCTTACCACATTATGTAACATAGGCTTTCGAGGCCTAAACCAAGCGAGGTATTCTAATGAAAATCACATAGACGCACAGCCGAATAGGGTGGTCACATATCCGCCAATTCGTCCCTTTTTGAAGAGATTCTGGCCACAGTTGTGACAACGAAAACTGATAAAGCTAATCAATTTTGGTGGCAAGCAATTTGGCGGCTCCGACCCATCTCACCAATCTGGCTGGGATGGGTCGGACGCACCAGCAGCCAGTTCTGAATCAATGTTCTAGCGTCTGAAAATTACATCAGTGTGCGCCGTACCAGATAAATTCTCGTGAAAATCGGACGTGTTCGATGGACTGATGATGTTTTTTATACGGGTTCCAGATGCGTCGGTTCCATTCGTTAATATCTTGAGGGCATGCACGTGAAATGCTCACCTCTGTCGTCAGCTGTGGCTTCCGACACAAAGCAAGGCGCCTTGCTAGCAATAGCTGCAGAGAAGCGACGCGTTCGGAATCTGCGCTATTCGCCTGGTCGCCGCGGCTACCCGCCAGCCGCTGCTCCAGCTTGGTGACGTGGCGTCCGTTGTTCTTCGGCAGGTGTTCCAGTCCGACGGCACGTTCGTCGGCACGTTCGGCTCCGAAGGGCGCAGCTCCGGCCAGCTGGCGCACCCGCACTACATCGCCGTCAGTGCCACCAACCGCGTCGTCGTCACCGACAGCAACAACCACCGCGTGCAGGTGTTCGATGTCAACGGCAAATGCCTGACCACCTTTGGCGGCGAGGGCGGCGAGGAGGGCAAGTTCAAGTTCCCAAGGTGAGCACGAGATGGCAAGATGAGCGCTGTGACTCGGCGGTGGATTAATTAAGTGATGGTGGGGCGATGTTTTTTAAATTCATTATGTGCGTATGCACACATGCAAGCTGCAATGTTTTGCTTAGAAATGCCAGTGGTGAAGGAGGTGGCAGCCGTTGTGCAACGATTTCCAAGGCATATTCGTGTAGCCAGCGTGAATACTGGCAACCACGAGAAACCTACGCACCAGCTTTTCGCCCATCAATCATGTATTCACACATATGGTATTTCAGTTCCGTCCACAGCATGTGTTTCGTGGCTCTATAATCTTCTGATATATTTTCAAACGATCCATCAGGGGTGTCGCCGTAGACGATCAAGGATACATCGTTGTCGGCGACTCGGGCAACAACCGGATCCAGGTGTTTCGAGCCTGACGGCACGTTCCTGAAGGCGTTCGGCTGCTGGGGTAGTCAGGATGGCGAATTCAAAGGTACGCAAACTGTTGAGGCCACTGGAATCTTGGAAACTGATGGTTAAGAACTGCATCAATTGGAGAAGGTTTGCCCCGTGTTCAACTGGAATGAGCTCTTTCAGTCCGTAAATTGCAAGGTAAACCTCTACGTTTCCAGTGCATGCAGTCATAAATGTTGTTAAAACCTCCATAAGTATCAACTGAATCAATCGAAAGCTTTCAGCCTCTACCTGAACTAGTCAAGATGTTACTTCCAAATATCCAGTCATGAACCTGGGTCGACACAACCTCCCCGGATTGCTGCTTTGGAATGCTCCCCACGCGACCTGGCCGAGGTGCCTTACGCCTGACCGACCGGCGGCCGGGGACCACAGTGTTCCGCCGAGCCGTGATGCCACCAGCCACCGACCCATGTTGTTCCAGGACTGGAGGGCGTCGCCGTGATGTCGAAACGGCAACATTCTGGTCTGCGACCGCGAGAACCATCGCGTGCAGGTGTTTTGAAGGTAGGTGCAGCGCAGCCGCAGGCACGCGGTGCCGGACATCGGCTCGATTGCGGCCTCAAAGTTTTGTGTGCAAGGAGTAGCCGCTGGGCCATTTCGTAGCGCGGTGCTCCTGAATTTGAATAACGCAGGACAAAAGCATCAACCGTAATTTTGGCAGAGCTTAAAATGAATGCACAGGTTTTGCTCATTGCAGATCGAAGCCAGTGACCTGAGCAGCTATATATTATCGATACACAGCGTCACCCAATGTCGGCGAAATCCATGCGTCTGACAGATTGCGTGTCGGTTCCGTCGCAGTGCGCTTCGTCTGGCTCGCCGGTCCGCAGCGGCCTCCCATCGCAGGCTCAGCAGGCTCGCGAGGACATCTTGCGGCAGAAACGGAAACCTTCGCAGCAGCGGAGACTACAGCACACTTGTTGAAATGGTCCCGCTTTTATTTTGCGCTTGGTTAATACGTGTACAGTAGAAACGGACGGCGATGACGGGGCAGGCGTGTGAAGAGGTACCCTTTCCCGCTGTGGCGATTTGTATAGAGTTTGTACAAAACGAGTCCATCGTGATGAAAATATGAACACTTAACAAATGTGCAGTTGTAATAAAAAACGTAAAGCCAGCCGCCCAGTGATGCATCCGTGCGCATAGAACATTGTTCGAAGAAAAAAGGTTACGAAAGCTACGGAAACGCAAAGAGCACACCGCAAATTACTCCCCACATGTCAAACACTGAAAGTAGACATAGATGCGTAAAACACGTGACCATCGTACCGTAAAGAGAGACCATTGCAAAGGCGAATCGATCGAATAGCATTCAGAGACACGGCGTCACCTTTGACGCACAGATCCTACAGCACAGGTAGTGTTCTAAAACGCACTCACTCAAATTGCACTGATGAACATACTACCGCAACGAGTTCCGAAATCAACACGGAATAGCCGCGTATTCACCGCTTACCACTCACAACAACCAAATACAAACATGTCAAAATGGGTCAAAAGGCCGCTTCACAGCCACCAACCGGTCATAGGACCAGAGCAGGTCACGTGCACTACAAGGAGGAGCGCCAGAAAAGTTGTGCGGCAATTATTTGTACGTTGTGTTGGCGCACAGACGTCAGACAAAGTGCATTCCATTCGCCATAAAGCCGCATCTCCTGGAGCAGTTTGAGCAAGCAAAGGTCAATTAATGTCTTTAACCGGTGAGTAAAAGATTGAGCCAATCAGCCAGCCAGATCCATACACACGACTAAAAACCAAGGCACAGCAGCACAGCAAAGACTGCATCAAATTGCGTTTGGGTCTGGGCTGTCCAGGAGAAGTCATTTTTTAATTAACGTCCGGTTTTTGAACGCGCGGTACGTCCCGCCCGGACGCGCCAGGCGCCGCCGCGGCTGCAGGAACGGCTCCATGCATGACCGCACGGCGGTCGCTGCCCCGCCCTCAGGCGATGATGTGGGCCCAGTCGATCAGAGGGTCGTATGTGTTCCTGTGATCGTGATGAGTCCGCTGCAGCTCTTGTCTGAAGAACTCGACAGTCTTCTTGATTCCCTCAGCGAGGGGCACCTGTCGGGAAAAATAACGGAAACCTAATTGTCCCGTGAGGCGACTTGATACCACACTTGTTTTGGACTTTGTTGAACCTGCGACCGAGTGAGGGAATTAAAAGTTGAGCGTCTCAGGGATTCCTTTGGAATCCGATAAGATCCAACTTTTCGGTACCAAAGTGGTTAATTTGAAGCAAATCAAAATCAAGCAAAGTAATGTTACTGGATTGTATTTGTATTTGTATATGAGTGTTAGCACGCAGATTTTTTCTCCACCTGCAGTGACTGCAGCTCATCGACTGGTCATCAGAGGTCATACACTGTCAGCTTCGCAAGTCTTGGACTCTGCAGGACTTGCAGCATTCGTCTATGACACGGTAGCGATATTAATGGACACTTCGGTACCGCTTATGTCAGATTTGAACAAGCCCCAAAAAATAAGAGCCGATGATGCATACTGACGTCGACCAGTCATGATGGCCTTTACCAGCTAATCTACCATACCTTGACTGAAGCGCAAAAGAATCATTCTAAGACATTAGGAGACGTAAGTCGATGTCCTCTGGCTCGTTGTGTCGGGTGATGCACAACTGTTGGCACCATTGGCCAGGGCTATGGATAGATGATTGTGACAGTTCCTATCTCGATTGAGTCAGGACATCTTGAAATGGTACCCATCTAAACATTCCCAGTAAATGGACTTCTGAGTCAGAGCTCGCGCATCCGATCGTGTCATTGCCATTTCAGATACACAATTTGGTGACGAAGGTTAGCGCTCCAATGTTTGGCACGGTCCGTGCCTCGCTCCGACGTCACCAGACCTTATCGTGGACACTGCCAACGGCTGCAGGTCATGCCTGTCGAGGCCAAATAGAGAGCGCCGAAATCGACCCGGACTCGCCTCCCCAGAGGCGGGTGGATCGGACGATAAGCGTTTTAACCAACTGATGTATCGGGACAGCTAGAGAGACCCCGACCCTCAAGCGATTGCAGGTGTCCTTGAAACACCCGGGCGGCGCCGCGTTGACAGAAACGCCAGATCGCGCTACCATGTGTCGCATTCATTGCTTAATCATGCGATCGCCATTCGAGATGATATCTCTCATAACTTAGTTTGCAGGTGTTCAGTAGTTAAGGAAACTGTTCCCAGCACCTCCCCTCCTAAACCGGTTCTCAAACATTTGTGCGAGCCGAGTGCGGATCAGCGGCACGCAACAACACTCTTATAAGACAGTAGTCTACCACCGTCGCCGAAATCCAGTGCCCCTGACCGACCTTGGGCTCCCAGTTGAGCAGTTTCTTAGCTCGGCTGATGTCGGGCCGGCGCCGCTGCGGGTCGTCTTCCTTGGCCTCTTGGTACTCCACGCCGCTCGTGCGGCCAACAGTCTTCTGGATAATGCTCGCAAACTCTGCCGGAGTGCCGGGAATGAGGTCGACGGATAGCAATGTTCAACGGCGCGAGAGGCTCCGCTGAAGCAAGCAACAGTCTTTGAAGGCGTTCAGCCAGCGAAGCAAATTTTGGGGGTCACACACGGAGTTAGGAGACACGCCTAGTTTTGCCTGCCGCAGGCCGACCTGCAGCCAGCACACGGTCAGCTGCGGCCTTACCCTCGATTGTGTGCTCGTCTGGGTTGCCGATGTTGACGGGGACAGCGTGCTCGGACTCCATCAGCGCCACCAGACCCTCCACCAGGTCAGAGACGTACTGGAACGAGCGCGTCTGCTTGCCCGACCCGTAGATCTGCAACAGAGGCCGATCCGCTCAGGCCAGATAGACGGCACTGAAGAGCGGCACGAACAAGTGGTCTTCCAAGCGCCAGATATGAACGATTCGTCAATTGCATTTTTCTTGGCCTTTCTCGCCGCACGGCTCGTGGATTCGCAGGATTTGAATGACACCGAGTCATGTATGCCTGGGTGACATTGATACAGTCTCCCCAAAACAGCCAGCACATCTTCGCGGGCGCGTAGGTTAAAAATTCCAGGACCTCAGATCTTAAGGGCAGGGCTGTGAACTGCATCGAGTAATCCTCAAGATGGTTTTTTTCGGTTCAAAACCCCATATGTAAGTACTCAAAAGCATTGCAACCAATCTTTGTACGTTCTCGGGCATACCGAAAGACCAGTATATATCTCGGCTATACCAATCAAAACCACCAGGTAACAAGAACACCAAACCAAACCATTTGACCGACTCGTACCGTCAACTTCTTGTTTTCCAGAGCCTGCAGGATGAAGTTGCTGACCACCCTGCCGTCGTTGTTGTGCATGCGGGGCCCGTACGTGTTGAAGATGCGGGCGATCCTGACGCTGACGTTGTTGCGGTGCATGTAGGCGAATCCCAGCGTCTCTGCCACCCGCTTGCCTTCGTCGTAACAGGCACGTGGGCCTGCAAACGACGTGACGATCTCGCTCATCTCTCCCGTTACTAACCGGTCACGCTAGGCAGAACAAGCGATAAGTCTTTAGATTCCGCGCTGGTCATCACAAATCCCGCCATCATCAATAAAAAGACCTAACATAAAACTACGCAAGAATTCCGGACATGCATCTACACGACTTGGATGCAGACAACTGGCACCAGTCTCTTAATCTAGTCTCAGCAACTATCGTCCACACTTCATTGTTCATGGGTTAAACGAACTGCGCATGGCGAATGGACAAGGTTTAAGCTGTGTTGATACAGTCATGAGAAGACACTGCGCCTCACCAGCTCCCCCCCCCCGTCCCTAAGTCGACCTAGTATACGTACCGATGGAGTTTACGTTGCCCCAGTAGGTCTCTGGCTGCGGGTGCACCTCGGTAGACCAGACATACGTACCGATCGGGTTTACGTTGCCCCAGTAGGTCTCTGGCTGCGGGTGCACCTCGGTAGACCAGACATACGTACCGATGGGGTTTACGTTGCCCCAGTAGGTCTCTGGCTGCGGGTGCACCTCGGGGTCTCCGTAGATCTCGGAGGTGCTGGCAATCAAGATCCGCGCACCCACGCGCTTCGCCAGGCCTGCAACACCGGCCCAGTTGAAAACACTACACAAAGCAGCTGAGCAAGGCATCGAGCGCATGCAACAGGCGAAATATAACTTGGTGCCCTGTGAATCAGGCCAAGTTAGTAAGAAGCTTGATAAAAAAGGACACCACCCCAGGGGAGAGACCTCTGGATACCCACGAGCATAACGCGACGACGGCATTATTACGAATCGGACGCATCCAGTCGTGTTTATATTGGAGTTGGACAAATCGCCTGACATACGTAATCTGGTAGCATAGCTATGTAAACATAAGTAAAGCTAAATAGAACACTGCAAGCTAACTACCAAGAACCGCGCCTAATAATGATCACAGGCAGTTGAGGCCTTGTAGCGCGCAAAACTAGTGTGCTCGCCTCTAAACACCTAGAGCGAAGCGCCGCCCGCATCCCTGAAAACTTTTCAAACACTGGTCAGTACTTGAACCCTGCCGTCTGATCCGTGTTGTTCGCGAGGCCTGCGCTCGTGTGACGGACAGGCGGCGGGCTCACCGAGCGTGTTGATGGTGCCTCGCGGGGTCTGCGCTCGTGTGACGGACAGGCGGCGGGCTCACCGAGCGTGTTGATGGTGCCTCGCGGGGTCTGCGCTCGTGTGACGGACAGGCGGCGGGCTCACCGAGCATGTTGATGGTGCCGATGGCGTTCGTCTTGATGGTCTTGACCGGGTTGGCCATGTAGTGAGGCGGGCTGGCGGGGCTGGCCAGGTGGTAGATCTCGTCCACCTCGGCGTAGTACTGGTTGACGATGTCGTGGGTGACCATCTCGAAGTTGTGGTGGCCCAGCCAGGTCTCGATGTTGCGCTTGCGACCCGTGAAGAAGTTGTCGACCACGGTGACCTCGTGGCCGTCCAGCATCAGACGGTCCACCAGGTGCGAGCCGACGAAGCCGGCGCCGCCGGTCACCTGAGGAGAGGTGGGGGGGGGGGGGGGGAGGGCGACATTCAGGTCACGGCGGGGCAGATCGCCGTGTGAAGGCCAGGGACGGGCAACAGGTGAGACACCCTCCAAACAGAGGCCGAGTGGTCCACGGATGAGGCGCGCTAGAGATTCAAACAAGGATTCAGGCGTGACGTAGATCAAGTCATCGCGAACTGTATATGACTGCCTGCATCATGATACGGCCAGCCACATGATGCAAGATATTTCGCCCTATAAGTATGTCAGCCTCCTGCAGGAGATGGCGGCAGGCCAGGACATGGACCAGCATACGGCAGGGCACGCAAGACAGGCCCGGGCAAGGCACCAAATGGCGGTTTTAGAAAAAAAAACAGTGGCAGGCTTGCATATGTAACCAATCTTCATGGATAGAAGAAGAATTATATATCTAATAGATGCTTATGCATGGCAAATACTATCTTACAATACAATAGGTTAGAATTGCTGGAAAAACTTTGTTCAGAGCTATAATTTTTCTTTAATAAAATGATGCAATCTATGTCCCAGGAGTCGTAAAACGTGGATCTCCACCGAGCCATACCAGGATCCGCTTTCTGTCCTTGTAGCTGCGGAACTTGACGGGCGGGTACCTCGCAGTCAGCTTCTTATCCAGAGTGTACATTTTCTCAGTCACAGCCTGGATGTGGCTACGGCACAACTCTATGAGGTTTTTCCGGCACTCGGTTTGCTGAAACAAATGAAGATCAAAGTGGTGGAGCGTGGATAAAAATGGAGCATACAAGTACTGATGAGCTGATAAAAGGCATCACACTCTGTTTGCTCGTAACAAGTTTTCAAAGCAATCGAATAATTGTCATAAACTGCAGATTAGGCCAACTGAACAGAAAGTGAGATTTCACAGCAAAAATGGCATATAGACAACAGACGCGAACTAGCGACCACTGGAGCCCAAGTACAGGAATGGATCATGCCCAATATAACGACACAAACACACGCTATAAGCACTGCTCGGCATGGGTGCCGATCCCGGAGATCCATCCAGAAGGCGTGGACCAAAATCTTTCTTTTTAGAAATGTTCCACCCTAGCTGAGAGCCAGCGCATGAAAGCCCAAGCGCGGCTGCCACAGACCTGGTGACTGTCGATGCCGGAGGCTTCGCAGTCGTCTCCATAGTGCGCCGGCGGAGCGGTCTGGATCCTCCCCGCCGGCGGCCGGGCGGGGCACGTCTGGTCCAGCCACGAGGCGAACAGGACAGGCACGGGGCGCTGCCCCACAGTCAGGGAGGCCACCTGGCTCGGGCGGCTGAAGATGGACACTGCAAGGCACGCGGGCAATACTGAAGAGCCGCACTCGACGACGTCCGCGGCGGTCGGCTCGGGAAGTGCGCTAGTCGTTTGGCTATTGTGAGACACTTGTAACATCGACGGAGTCAATGGTACGGTAAGCACCGAACACAGTCGGGAATGCGTTTCAAATCTACACTCCGTGCGTGACGTTACGACGAGCCGAGCAACAGAAGACACCCAGGTGATCAGCGGCGAGACTTTTTGTAGGACAGACACACATTTTCGTTGGCGGTTGTCTGGAAGTGGTGTGAACAGAGTCGAAGAGGACAACGACAACCCTTCATGCTGCAATGGAGGGCGCGAGTTCTTACTGCTTTAAATCCTGAGGCGTCTTCGCAAATAAGAAGGCAGGCATCTATGATCAATCCGACCTAACGACCCCCAGAAAGTGGTGTGAACAGAGTCGAAGAGGACAACGACAACCCTTCATGCTGCAATGGAGGGCGCGAGTTCTTACTGCTTTAAATCCTGAGGCGTCTTCGCAAATAAGAAGGCAGGCATCTATGATCAATCCGACCTAACGACCCCCATGCCTCGGGAAAGTATCCTTCACGTAGAAAGATCCCCAGGTTCAGAACAGGGCAACAAATCCGATGAACGTTGGACGCTTCCCGCGAGAAATAAATGATCAAACCTTAATGATCGAACATCCCACCGCACAACAACGCGCATTATTCAAGATTTCCATGGGTGAAGTATGCGCATATTATATACATATATATATATATATACATATATAATATATATATATATATATATATATATATATATATATATATAATATATATATTATATATACATATATATATACATATATACATATATACATTACATATACATATACATATACATATACATATACATATCAATATATATATATATATAGTTCAATATATATATATATATATATATACGGATACGGCAATATATATATAATATATAATATATTATATATATATATATATATATCCGTATCCGTATATATATATATATTGCCGTATACATACCGTATATATATATATATATATAATATATATCCGTATATATATATATATATATATATATATATATTATCTATATATATATATATATTATAATATATATATATATATATATATATATATATATATATACACGAATGCATCCGATTGGGAGCCGCTCCAGCTGTGGCTACTCAAGCTGTGTGCTCATTCGTGCCGCATGCACAAAGACCGTTGCACGAACTTAGCGTCACGGAAGTTGCGACAACTTCGGTCATTCAGCGCGAGCGGCCCGTACCAGTCACCGCTTACAATCAGCCCAGCGGTGGCATTGCACGGAATGACACGCGAGCGCACCGTTCCCTTTAATCGCGCCCATCGGTTGAAGGAAACAGTTTTGATTTTGGTTCTCAGCTTCAGCCAAAAACCGAATCAATCGTCGAAGCCACCTCCAAGTCATCCTCCAGAGTACTTACGAGCCAGCAGCACAGCGAGGACGGCAGCGATAGCGGGCGACCACTCCCTCAGTCGATCGGTCAGGGTCGGCAGACGCTCCGCCCGCCCCCGCTCCGCCCCCTCGCGCTCACGCCGCAAACGCCCGTGACCGTCCATACCCGCTGGCCTTTCCCTGCACGACTCGTGCCCCGGGTACCGGCAGCTCCCCGACGCCATCTCGCCCGGGGCCGCGCTGGAGGCGGACAGGGGCGCGTCCAGGCGCCGCCGAGTGGAGGCGCACCCAGCGCATAGGCGGAGGCAGGCTGGAACTGAGGCGATGATCTTTCATGGCGATGCTCAGCCTGTGTGGCTGCTGCTTACGGGCGAGACGGGTTTGCACATGTGGCCTCAGGATTGCGATCATTTTTCCGTGACTGGCGACGCCCTTGAAGGAATGACCCTGCCACTCACCGAATCCTCAGACCTCTGTCCACATATTTCAGTGGTTAAAGTCTGTTGTGCCTGTTGGAGTTATTTGGTGTATGTTCGGATGGTCGGTGTCTTTCCCGGCTGTCCCCATTCACACGGGTTTCAAATGCAAACACCTTTCGCAACGCAGCTTATAAAGCGGCCAACTTTAACGGGTTCATTCACGTACAAGTCTTCGCAAATGCAGCGGTAGGCTTAGGAACCAGCCGGAATATCAGTCATAGTCTCAATATTTATTGCAGTAACTGGCGGAAACTGCACACTGACTGCGTGATGCAGCAGTATCTGCTCGGAGTTGATGTTATGCCTTCGACGCCATTTAAAAGCAGAAACCGGAAAGGCACTAAAAGTGGCCGAATCAGCAGGGCAGTTGGACAGTTTGCTTGGCATCGCCACTGCTCCGATCTTCGTCCGGCTCCCACATTTGCCTGGTATCGCCACTGCTCTGACCCTCGCCCAATTCCCGCCGAACTTCGCCCCCCCCCCCCCTCAAAACAAGCGGTATGCGGCCTTCGGGGCGAGGGAAGCCATGCGTAGAGGCTAGCTGGAGACGGGGTCGCTTCCTGGAACCGGCATGCCCGGAAGGGTGCTGTGGCGCGGGCGGCACAGGCGCTAACGGAGGATCGCCCTAAACACGAACAGGCGTCGATGAGGTGAGGGCGGCCTTCGCTGGGAACACTGAGGATGAAACGTCACAAGCATTTTTGAAAAGGCTGATTAAAAGAGTATCGTATAAGGCAGCATCATCTGTATTGCAGCGACTGATGCGCTTCCATATCATAACGAAAATTTAGGGTGAACAAACACGCAAAGAACACAAAACTGAACTCCCAGCGTTGCAGTTCTTTGCACTGCCATTTTATTAGCGAACTCTACACTTATAAACACACGGTACGGGGCGACTGGTGGCACCTAGGTGACGACCATGCCCGCTTCATTATTAATTATATGATAAACATGTAACAAAAACATTTCTTTCTTTGCAGATATGCAGTGATCAGCAGGGAGTGAATAATCCGTCAGCCACTAATTTGCGGGGGCTAACTTTTTCGTTAGCGGATTGGCGTTTCTGTTCACTTGGAAAGCTGTTGGCGGACCAAATAAGCCTCCTCTTAACTTGGCTCCGCTAGCTTTAACTTCGCTAGCATTGTTTTGACGTTGAGGCAAATGAGTGGTCGTCCGTGAAGTACATTGCGGAGGGGGGGAGGGAGGGGGATAATTAGGGGATGAGTAGAGGTGAGGGGGCATGGCGCATGACGGAAGTGTAACCAGGAAAGAGGTGGAAGGTTTTGAAAATTGTTACGTTGCGCTCTGGTGTTATCATAAATAACGTTGAAATATTTTAAAGCAATTGAAGCCTTAAAGCTGGGTACCGTTGGCTTCTTTCCATACCAAAGAACACGCTCAATTAAGAGTCAAACGGATAATACTTTTTGGGGCGTTACGAGGGGGAGAGGCGGGGGGGGGGGGGGGAACCCAGCATAACTACTAACCAGTGCGTAACCAGAGATAAAGGAGGGTTGAAAATGGCCAAAAATGCCCAACATGATTTATGAGTGGTCCCCAAGAGGACCGTTCCGTAGAGGGAAAACTACCTTTCCAATAGCCTTTCGTCTAATAATTATCCATAAAATTATCCATCTGTGGTTACCAGGATCGAAAATTATCCTCGAGTTTCTCCTCACGTACATCATTAATCCACCACATTTTTTTTCTCTCAAAAATACCCATATTTTAGGCCCTCTTGCGTAATTTCATATTGACGTCATCCAGAGCAGAAGGCTGGAATAATGTGCAAGCGCATTGGAAATATCGGCATCAAGGATATTCTGAAACATAATGATCAACAGGGGTGTGATGTTATCATAAGTCTACACTTCGTCGCATTTGGATGATCACTGGCACACACCTCCAAACATTGTTTATGATAATATATAGGCATGTGAAGCCTGCCAGCCATTTGGAGACCTGCAACCATACCGAATTTATTTTCAATAGTACCGCAACCACGACGATTTTTGTTAGAATGGCCACCCAAGTCGGCATATCCCCCGACACGTGAAAAAATCAAGGCAAGTAAATCTGCAGCTTGATGTACTGTATTCGTTCGTGGATCTCAAAGTTGATCCATTTAAGGGAAGCTTTCCAATCTCTGACGGCTTGGTGAATACACCTCACCCAACTTATGTCACGATTTGCATGCAAAGCCAGATTTTTTATGTTCACTTATCCGCTTTTATGTCATGGCCATGGCGATAGCTTTTGGAAATGCAGTTGGGATCGTTTGAGAAAAACGAGACATCCAAGTCAAACTTGCATCTGGACGTTCTGAAACACATCCAATGAGAATAAAACATATCGAATGAGAATACGACATATCAAATGAGAATAGAACGAGCTTTCATACCCAAGAACCGGATGCATCGTTATCCATCTGCGGTGGCGACGCTGGGTTTGACCGCATCACGCGACCGCCGCTGTCTGCAGGCCAGCCAGAGCGCATCCCTGCCCAGCGACCCCAGACTTGCTTCAGACAGGCCCCGCGACAGACAGTGGCACAGGCCACCGAACCAGGCGCACATACCTTGGGCCGTATCGGACGGCCAATCGACAGCAAAGTGTCGTCTCAGCCTTTGATCGTGCCCTGCACGTGACTACATCTTTCCTCAGGATTAGAGGGAAGGCACCAGCCCAGGTGCCACATCTAGCTTAAAACGAAACACCCTGTAGTTCGATAACGATAAAACACACTCATCAAATGAAACTATTAGCTCAGTGATGCTGTTGATGCATTACGATTGAAGTATGTTAGACAATACATGACATTTTTTAATTTTTGGTGGATGCTAATGGATAACTTCGTGCTGGAACCAAATTGTGTAGGTGGCACAATCTCAAGCAGCTGTCACATATTCGAACCCCATACGCCTTAGTTACACTTTTGATATCTTCCGAGGAATGATACCAAATTGTTAAAGCTTGACGTGGTGTGCAATTCTACAACGGTTTCATCTCCCGATACTTGATATAAATAGGGGCCGCACAAGGCATTTGGAATCAATATTTAACTCAGTCTGGGTGGCTAGGTATCCGACCGTTGATCTCCGAAGCTTGGCGCTTCATCAAACGACGGGAAACGCCGGCAGGTCTAAACTTGTTTGGCATATGCAGGTAGCTAATGCCAAGACCAATAGCAAACGTGAGGAACTTAGCCTGCCGCTGCCACTTGTTAGCGCACATGTTCTGTCACAGAGCGTGACGAACGCAACGGACTTGGGGATTTTTCCAAGCACACGGGATTACAGCCTAACACGTTGGATTTCTTTACGAGGGTGGGGGAGGGGGAGTGGTAGGTATTGACCAGGGGAGGGGGCGCATGTTGTGACTTTGGATCCACGGAATATATGAATTTACATATAACGTTGCATTAACGAAATATCATAAGTTGCGTTCACCAGACAAGATTTGGCTAGCAGACTGGAACCGATTTATCCCCTAGTTCCGACCATCCGAGTGGTGAGGTTCACCCAGCAAGTCACTCTGAGGAGCCATGACCCCAACGACGCTTGAACTGCTCATCCACGTGACCCGAATTCCAGAGGAAATTGTGGTCGTAGAAAGTTGGTGGGGCACACCCTCCCCCTGCGGTGGATGATGAGGAACGCACTCTAAGGAGCTCAAGAGCAAGCTTAAAAAGGAAGTGGTGCTGCGGACAGCGATAAAACATCGAGTTTTTCAGGCATTTGTGGCACAGAATGGCTCCCAAAGTTGATGCGTGAAGCGAGGCAGAGCGACGGAAGATTAACACTGCAACTGGCGCCGTTTTCCTTTTACCATAAATCGATCAGCCTACGTTGGAAACGAAGAGCAAATGTTTGCCAGAACAAACAGTAAACTGCTGGTACATGAATGCACCCAGTGCCCGTGCTATTTGCCAGCGAAGAGACAAGCCGAAAGGAGGTATTCGTCTGCCAACACTCCAATGGCACCAGCAGGTCGTTTTGCTGTCTCAGCATTGAACTAATCCGGTGACCCGTGACCTTCAGCCAAGTTCGTGTGGACATGCGGACTGTCGCAATACGGCATCACCAGCGAAGGCTATACCGAGGAGCATCGATTCTACACCGCTGTTGAGCCCCGCCGGCGTCCCACTCGCTGTCATTGACCACCAGGCAGCGGTCAGCCAGGCTGGCGACAGGCGGTCTCCAGCAGCGGAGCGGACGCCCCAGGCGGTGACCTCACTCCGCTAGTGTGCGAGCTCCGCGCACAGCCGGCTCTGTCAGGTGGGCCTCGGCGTTTGGTGAGGGACGGGGTGGGCTTACCCAGCTCCGTTTTAGATATCCCTTGTAGCTGGTTTGTTCAACGCTGTCGTCTTTGGGTCTAGCGCCTTTGGTGTTGTTTGTTTTGTCACTTGGAGTACGGTGTCGTGACAGTGCCTGCACCAAGGTGACTGAGACACTGTCACGACGTGGATGCGTTGGTCTTCTCGACTGTAAGGAAGTTGACGCTGACGTGATTTGAAACCCGATAAAACCAGATTAGCCAAATTAGATAAGTCGTCCGATGAGGTGCAGCAGCCTTAAAGTAAGGTTAGGACCACCCTGATCTGCGTAACGCACATGTCGCTGTCCACAGGCTTCTACGAACACCTTGAGGCATGATGGGTATCACTACAGTGGAGCCTCTTCCAAAGGAAGC